TTGCTAGGCCTCGCCTGGCTCTGAGGGGCCTATCCCCCAGCAAATAGTACTGCAGGGGGTTAGGCCACAGGTCATCTTTGATGATCTGGGCAACCCTGTCAGCCTCTGGGAGGCTGTGCTGTGAAAACCAGCTGAAGAAGCTTCGCACTGTGTCTCTGTTCCTGTGAACCAGGGCTGGGGGTTCCTGACCTCGATGCCATCGGATCCGAGTTGCAATGGATACCACCCGGCCTGAAGACCTACACTCGTACTCCTTCACTATCACCTTGTTTTGAAAGTAGGGGTTGCTCCAAAAGCGGAACTTGAACTTGCAACCTGACCTGGCATGCCTGAGTTCCCTCACCTCCAGATTCATCAGGTAGCAGAGCATGTCTTCATCTCGGGGGCTAATCATGGTTGACAGCTGCGGGTGGTTCAGGAAGGCGGTGACCCAAAACCCGGGAATATTCTGGATGATGAAGCTTCTCCGGGCTAGGTGCAACCGGCGCATCCTCCCAAAACTGCGCTCAAGCCAGAGGTAGGCCCTGTCGGCCTGGCCACTCAGGACTTCCAGCTCCCACTGGATGGCCTCCAATGGGTCCACAATGAGACCATCAAGGTTTAGGGGCCTCGGGGCCTCCTGTGCCTCCGCGCCCACCTCCAGCCTCTCCTCCCCCACCTGCTGCTTCTCCACCTCCTCCGCCGCCTCCTCCATGAAGATGGCGCCCTCCTCAGTCGTCACTTCCTCGGCCTTCCCACCGGCCCCCGCCCGAGCCCCCCACTCTTCTGCGCCACACGTTTCTGGGGTCTCATCCCCGTGGGGGCCGCTTTCCAGGCTTGGGTCAGTCGCCACCGAGGCCACTTCCCGGAGCCCTGGGGCAGGTGGAGCGGTCCCGGGGCCGGCTGCAGGGTGGGGGTCCCCGCGTCCCCCAGCTCCCGGGACCCAGGCCGCGGGGGCCAGGCGCTCGCACCCCTCCTGCGCGGGCCCAGACGGTGGGCTAGCGGCAGCTTCCAGGGCACCCGCCCCCTTGTCCGCCATCACCTGCGGGCAGCCTCTTGGCTGGTGGGGCTCAGGCGAGACTGCGGGCTCTGCGACAGGGGCGGCGGCAGTGGCAGGTCGCGGACAGGCGGCGGGGAGGTGGTGTCTCCTCCTCCGAGGCGCGCTCCGCCCCTCGCACCCCTCTTCCGGATGTGACTCGTTAGGGTCCTCCCGCGCGGGGGAGACAAGGGACCTGGAGTTCTGGTGTGTATATGGGGGCTGCCCGGTGGGGACGCGGCTCCCGGCGCTAAACAGAACTGGCTCAGAGGCGGTGGAGGTGGGGGAAAGTGCCGGCGTGAACCAAGCAGGGGCAGCTTGGGCGGGGGGGGGGGGGGGGCAGCCCATCACAGCCACCACGGCTGGCATTCGTTCCCCTTGCTGGGCTCTCTCGGGGCCACTGTGGACACTTGCACTTTCACACAGGATACATTTTCACAGGCACAGCCAAGGGGTGTTCCTTGCAGAGGCTGACCACACTTGAACCCGGAGCCGAAGATAACAGTAACTGTGGCACCCAAGGTGCTCCTCTTGTGGAGAAAGGGAAGAAAATAGTTATTAATGGGTAGAAAGATCCCAAGCAAGGAAAGGCCTCAAACCACTGCAGAGCAGGGAGCGAGAGCATCAGCCTGGTCCCCATGTTCCTCCTAGGCTGGCTGGCTGAGACCAGGCGGACCTTGCTTCATTTTATGCCAGGCCAAAGGGGTTAGTTACCTTTTGCTCAGTACCACTCATTTCACAAAGCCGGACTTGAGTCTGAAGTGATCTGTTCCTGGGTAGACCAGCCCCTGCAGTCCAGGACCGGCAAATACATCCACACTCCTGTGGTCTCAGTTCTTAAACTTGTGGCATATGGAGTTCAGTAGACCTAATGCCATTTCTGCCAAGTCCCTGCCACTTACTCCAGAAAGCCTTGAGCCTCTTTCCTGCCCAATGGACATGACAGCTCCCTCATCTGAGCCACCGGGGCTATCCTAAGGTATACACAACTTAAGAAGGCAAGGTGGATTCTCCTGAGGCCCCAACTCATTGGGGTGGCCAGTGAACATGTAGAATGATGGATGAAGGGTCAGCTTGCTGCCTTTGTTCAAGCACACACTCACACTTGCTAGTGCCCTCAAGGGCTACTGGGCTCATGGTTTGGACCTGGAGCCTTTGGTCCGCCAAAGGCTCCTTCTTCCTATGTTGGAGACTTGGTCCCCAATGCAGCAATATTCAAAGGTGGGGCTTTTTGGAAGTGATTGGATCGCGATTCCGATCTCATCAATGAGTTAATCCATTGATAGGTTCAAAATTGAATGGACTATCGGGGAGGTGGGGGAAGCTGTAAGTTGGGGCTAGCTGGGAGAAATAGGTGACTGGAGATATGCTCTTATAAGGGTGTAACCCTGGCCCTTGATGGAAGGATCTCAGCACAGGGGGTGGCGCCCAGGATGGTGATGACATTTTTTAGGACTGGCCAAGCAATGTCAGCTGAAAGCACGTCAGCCTCTCAAAAGTTGTTGGGCACAGGCATAGGTGCACCTTGGGCAGTGTAGGTGACTGTGGTAGACATGCATATTTTTTGGACAACCAGTTTCTCACCCTAACAGTTGCCCATGTTTACTGTGAGAAACCATTCCTCCTTGGTTTAAGTCTCAAAGTCACTGATAGGGTCTGCTTTAATTGATGGGGGGGAACACCACGGAAGCCAATGGAATAGGATGCTTACTGGGGCGTCTGTGAACAAAAGGACTTCTTCCTGAAGATCCTCTGCTGGTCAGTCCTGTGAGTGACAAGTCAAGAATCGTGGCAGAATTCTGTTCTCACACAAAGGAAGAACATACTTTGTAGACCCTGAGGATGAAGTCACAGCACTAGAGTCAGGGCGGACACACAGCAATGCTGAGGCCAGGCATGTTCCAACCTCTGAGTCAGGCCTGACCCAAAGACTGTGCTGCTGCTGGCGTTTTCAGTTACCTGAGATGTTGCTATTTGAAGTCAATTTGTGTTTTCTGATCCTTGCACCCAAGATTAACTGATAGAATGATGCCACTTACCTCAAAGATACCCAATTAAGAGCTTCCATTTCAAACTCCGTCTTTAATGCGAATGGCTACTGCTATCTGCCCTACACTCACCATCCTCACCCTGGATGCCAAAGATGTCTGGAGATTCCAGTTTTTCCCAATTCCAGGCTTTCTCCAACCCTTTCCCAATTAGGTTCACAACTGCCAAACACATCATTCAGAAGTTTTTAATAAACAACTTCATTATAAAAACTTTTTTTGAAAATGTAATTCTGTAAAACATTGAAAAAAATCTACTTTAACAAAGATATGCCCTGTGCATTTTCTAATGGCACTTATATTTTACAATTAAAAACCTTGTTTTATATAAAGCCAAAAATACTCCAAGAGGTTATTCACTGTGTTTACAAAGTGCTAGAAGGTTTTTGTCTTGTATTTTTCTCTCTTTAAATAATCTGGCATTAAGAAAGGGTGGCTCCAAAGCCTCGACCACAGGGAAGGAGGGGAGAGCGTGAGAAGAGATGTTCAGGAGTTCTAGTGCCGGATATGCAGAGGTGGAGAGGTGTGGGGCGAGAATCAGCGCAGGAAGTCAGCCGACACCAGAAGCCACTGGACTGGAACACTTCCACACCCTCCATGGAGGCACTAGATTATGACAGTGAACACCCCTTTCCCTCGCTAGACCCTACTCTCTGGTGGTGAAGGTCACAGCCAATTCCTTCCACAGCAGGATCAGAGCTCCAGGAGAGGCCAGGGTGGGGTTCCAGAGGAATCTGGACTTTTCTGGCCAACACCTGCCTAAGGCAAAGTTTCTTATTACATAAATATCCTTGTTAAAAAGCAAAATATTGATCCTGTACAATATAACCTGTTAAAAAAAATCGTGCTTAAAAACAGCTCCTAGATAAGAGGGGAGGTGGAGAGGGGTGGTGGAGAAAACAGCTACCAAAGGGGAGGAGGGAATTTAAAGGGGCTACTAGGGAAAGTTTAGGGTACTGGGAGAATTTCAACTTAAGACAATATCTACGAGCAAAAAAGTAATCACACCTGCTTCCCGGATTTCCATTAACAAAATGCCACTTATAAAAGGTCTGGGTGGTAGGGCGCACAGGGGGTGTTGGGGGCCGACACTCACTGGTGCACCTTTCCCTGCCTCCCAGCTCACTAAGATGGTACAGGGACCCTTTGGGCTGACACCTGGGTGTGCCAGCTCTGGCCACCTACTGGGCAGGGTGGGAGTTGCCTGACCTCCTGTACAGGTCAGCTCACTGCTGACAGGCTGGAAGAGGTGGCAGAGAAAGAGAACATCACTCCTTTTTTCTGGTCCCTGACTGGTGTGTGCCACATGCCATGGCTTCTGACCTGGGCACATGCCCTTCAGGATCTCATGGCCTCAGTAGGGGTACTGAAGTGAGCACAGATTAAAAATCCTTTGAACAGTGAGGCCAAAAGGGCTTTTCTGGGCAGTGGATGGGAAGAAGCTAAGAAACAGCAGGGATATGGTCCAAAGATGTAGGCAGATAACGTTCCTCTGCCCTAGCAAAGTTCACAGTGACAGGAAAATTCCTTGTGGTGGTAAGGGTACTGAGGAGAGATAGGAAGAGAGATGGGAATAGGCGAGGGCAAAGGAAAAAAAAAAGGTGGTGGCCAGGCCCTAGTTATAAGATTTTAAATAGTTGCGCTGCCTGTCCTATGAGCTTCTCGGTATCACAAATGGAGGGGAGAGTCAGGAAAGGGCAAACGGGGCAAGACTCCCTAACAGTCCAGGACTTCATCTTGTACGGTCGGGGAACCCTGCAGAATCTGAGGGTGCAGGGAAGGTGGCAGGCAAGGCAAAGAGGGCTGCTGGGTCTGGGGAAGACCAGACACAAGGAGAATGGCAGCAATGAGTCCCTGGACTCTCACAGATCATTTCCTGTAACACCAGTCCAAATAACACGCACTGCATGCAGGAGGTGGCTGCGTACCAGGGTAGATGGTTTTAAAAATATATTTTAATTAGTCCTGGGACTCACGGAAACAAATTTTTAGAAGCAAATCATCTAGTCTGATGCTAAACTTGTTGATCATATATATATTTGTTTTTTAAAAGGTATCCCAAGCTACCCTGCCTAAATCAAAACACGCTTATTATTCACTCCACATTGCTTTCAGTCAAGGGTCAGGGAGCTAAAATTTTAAGGCTTTCACCTAAAACAAGGAGTACTGGCCTGGGCTGAAGCAGAAGCCTGGGTACTGGACCTGGACAGTTCCTGATGACTCAATTCCTGAAGTGAATCTAGACAGAAGGGGGACAGGAGGCCGAGTAGGAGGGTGAGGCAGTTCCTAGGTAGTTTGTCCTGAAACCCTAGTGGAGAAGCCAGCATGAGGCACCCATTGACAGAAGTGCCCAGAAACAGCTGGCTGCATCTATAGGAGTTAACAGTAGAGAGGTAGAAGTGTGTTTCTGAGTCAGAAAGGAAGGTCTAAGGAGGACCCCACAATGGTGGCCCCTGAGCTGCCTCCCTTCCACGCATGGGGAGAGCCCATGTAGAACTGAGATGAAGCAGGGTTTGGGGTCTGGTGGGGTTCTGGGAACGGGTTGTGCTGTCTGTTGCAGGGAGCCCCACAAATCAGAAGAACTAAATCACTTCTCTCAAGAAGCCTTGTTGGATACTAGGGGCAAAACTGAGGGGTACTGAACCATGGGAAGTTCTTGATGGAGAGCAGAGAAGCTTATGCACAGTGGCCATGAGTCCATGGGGACTGCGAAGTGGAAGAGACAGAAGGGAAACTGTGGATAAGAAAAATTTTGGTATGAGAGGCAACAATGATTACATAGGACTCAACTATCTGCCCAGTCCTAACATTCTGAAAACTCTTCTTCCAACAATTCCACAACTTCCTGGAAAAGGGACAGGCAGGAGGGAAACAAATAAAGGGCTCATTCCTTTTCCTTTGCAATTCACACCAACCTGGAACCCAGAGTCCCTCCTTCCAAGACAAAAAAAAAAAAAATTCAAAAAAACAAAACAACAGCTCATGATGTTGCAGGTGGCGGTTAGGGGATGGGGAGGTGATGGATGTGGGCATGCCTTTCATTTCTTCCCCTCTCCAGTTCAAAAGGAGGATGAGGGGGTCATGATATATTTGGAGAAAAACAGAATTGTAGACCTGTGAGAAAGCTGCTCCAATCTTCTTGCCTGTCTCCTGTGGACACTGCCGAGGAAGGCAGGAACAGACGCAGTCATGGAAGATGGCAGAGACTGAAGCAGTCCAAAGTCAGTTTATTTCCCCACGGGGGAAAAATGTGACCTCAAGTGAAGAGAAGTCAGCAAGACCCGACTCCGCCTTGTAAACAGGGCTCCAGTTAACACCAGGTACCAAGTGGTTCAGGCTGGTGCCAACTGAAATGGACTGGTGGGAATGGATTTATGGTGTGTAAACAGTGTTCACTGCAATCATTCTAAGGCTAACAGCGTGGTAAGGGAGGTGAAATGGTGTGTCTGAGGCAAGTGTGTAAACGGTACCGTTGCTGGACAACACTGACTGAAAACAGAGCTGGTGGTACAGTGGGGATGGGGGTGATGGGAAAAACAGAGGCCTTCTGCCCGCTGGCTGGAAGCAGGTGATGGAGCCAAGTGACCTTCCACAGCAGGGCCTGACCAACTAACTGCTGTGGGGTTTGCAGGCTGGGACCAGAAACAGGCCTCTTGAGCTATTTCTCTTGAGGTCATCCAAGGTGAAGCCCTCTGTGTCTCCAAGAAGCCTTCCTCTTCAAAGAGGAGGTGGTTCTGATGCTTTGGAGAGGGAGAGGGCTAAGTGTGGCTCCCAATTCAGATTAAAAAAATAAAAATAAAGTAAAAATACCTGAAAGTCCTATGGTAGGAGATCTTTTCACGGTGCTGGGGCTCAAAGCTCCTCCTGGAAATGATCCTGGAACCTGAACCCCCAAACCAAGTGCTCCATACAGACACTGGAATTTTTGCTTTTTTGAACCCAGCTCTGAAAGCTCAGCTGCCTTTGCAGACGAGGTGGGTACTGAGGCTCCCTGACAGAGCCAGAGACTGAGCCAAGGGCCTCCTTGGGGGCTATTGGAATGCTTGGTGGAATCGAGGCAGGGTGGTGGTACTCAGGCCAGAGGTGAAGACAGGAGGCAAGGAGTGCAGAGGCCCAAAGTTCAGTGGTCCCCCAGTTCCTGGGGAATCTTGAGGCTGAGCTTGCAAAGTGGTGAGCAGGGGCTGTGCCTCAGCCTGGGAGTAGCCCATGACTAGGCCTCCTGCGGTCCCAGGCGGGTTACATGGGGGCAGGTTGAGTGGAAGAAAGCCCAGTAGGTGAGAGAAGTCCACATTAGCAGCGCAGAGGGCCTCAGAGAGGTTGGCGGGGCTCTTGGTGAGCAGTGCTTCATCTAGGAGGGCCGCAGCTGCCGCCGGCTGAGGTGAGGCGGGCTGGGGTTCGGCGGATGAGAGAGAGAGGCTTCCAGGAAGCTCCGCCAGAAAACTATCCACCTCCACTTTGGGCAATTTGTCGGGCAAGTATGAGGTAGATCCAAGCTGGTATTTTGGAGGGAGCTGAGCAGGGGAAGAGATAGGTGAGGATTCCAGAGGGTAGCTCATACCCATGGGCAGCGTGTTGTGCACCAGGGAGTGTGGTACGCCTGCGCTGGGCATGGTAGGGATGTGGGCACCATACATGCCCATGGGCAACATGCCAGGGAAGGCCTTGGCCCCCATTACGTCCCGAGAGGCCATGCACAGCACAGGGCTCAGTTCTTCCTTCACACTGACTGTGGAGCTGCAGCTGAGTAGGCCTAACATGTCCACTGGCTCTGTCTTGATCTTGAGCAGCTCCTGTGAGTGGCTCTTCTTAACATGACGGGTCAGGTGATCCTTACGGCCAAACCTCTGGGCACAGTACTGGCACAGGAAGTCCTTACGGCCTGTGTGCACCACTAGGTGCCGCCGGACATCCTTACGAGTATAAAACCGCCGGTCACAGTGGTCACAGGGGTGCTTCTTCTCCTTGGCACCACCTGCTACCCGACGTGAGTGGGCCTTCAGGTGCTCTAGCAGTGCCTGGGTACTCTCAAAGGTCTGCAGGCACACCTTGCAGCTGAGGTCACCACTGCTGGCAGCATGCATGGCCAGGTGGCGACGGTAGCCCAGCTTCGTATTATAATTCTTACCACACTCAGAACAGTGAAGGGCCTCTTTATTGGGGTCGTGGGTCTGCAAGTGGTTCCGCAGGTGGTCCTTACGATGAAACATCTTATCACAGTACATGCACTGGTGGGGTTTCTGGGCCGAGTGGGTGGCCATGTGCCTGGGGGTAAGGATGGAGGACAGGGGAGAAAGCAGAAAGAGGGGGATCACAAGGGCTGACTGAACAACCAATGTGTCTACTAACAGGAAACTACATATAAAAACTATGATAAAGCCATGCAGTGGAATACCATGCCAACTATAATCTATACATGTCCCTGCAAAATGACTGTTATTCTTCACAGCATCGGTTGTAGTAGCAAACAAAACCAGAAAGAATCTGAACATCCAATCTATCACAGGGAACAGGTTACATAAAATATGCTAAATCTATAAAATGAAAAAATGAGGTACAAAAGTGCAGAGAATGGTATTCTGTGTTTGAAAAAAGGTGAAAATATATGTACATTTACTTGCATTGCTGAAAATATTTCTGAAAGGATATATAAGAAACTTGAGGAGCTGAGGATATAGCTCACTCGGCAGAGTGCTTGCCTCACATGCACAAGGCTTTGATTTCAATCTCCAGCAACACACACATATTCACACATAAAAAATATAAAAAAAATTTTTAAAAAGAAAGAAAAAAAAAACACTTGACATCGTTGGTAGACTGTGGGCAAAGAATTGGACAACTCAGAGACGGGTATGACCGAGAATTTGTATTCTCATTCTCACTTCAAAAAAACTGTGCACCGGGGATGTAGCTCAGCGGTAGAGCATGCAATCCCCAGCAGTGCAAAAAAAAAAAAAAAGTACTTAAAAAAAATTTGTTTAAAAGGACACAATAAAGGGAAAATGAAAAATACCTAACTTCCTGATCTGGAACAAGTTCCCAAGATATATGGAGCTAATTTAAAAAAGGAAGTTCAATACAGAACATGTAATATGATTCTTTTTGAAAATAAAAAAGGAAGGAATACATATTTGACTGTTTCAGGAAACACACACACAGAAACAAATCCCACTGGCTGCCTTTGAGAGAGGAACACTGGCTTTAAGTGTGTATACAACTCATCTTTCATTGCATACCCATTTATAGCATTTGAACTGCTTACCAGTAAATCAGTAACGCAGAAGAAATATTTTAGTGGTAAGGCACCTCAGTGTGCCCTTAGTTTACCTGCTCCCATCTGGTTGGAAAGCAGCTCAAAATACAGGAATTGTAATCCACAGCTCCATGTACGTTCAGAATCAACTGAGCAAGACAGGGAGGTGCTGAGTGATCCAATCTATTTTCTTCATTTTGCAGATGGGGAAATTAATCCCCAAAGATATTTAGTAACTCACATAAAATCACAAGAGAATTATGTCAGGGATCCTGCCTCCTGGACCAGTACTTCTGCAGCCTCCCAGGCACCCAGACCACCTCTAAGAAAGATTAAGAGGATGGCCCTAACTGGAATCCCCCTAAGATATAGAAATACACAGAGAATCAAAACATGCCTGAGAACCAAAGAATGCCCTGAGGACAATCCTGGCTTCCACACTACCCTGTTGCCTATTTTAGTTCCTTCCTATCAACTGTTTTCCAGATGAGGAACTGAGGCTTTTTATGGTCCTTTGTTGATATATTCACTTGTTTACCATCTACCTCCAATTTAAAGAAAGTAAACTCATGAAGGGCCTGTATCCCCATCTATCTTACTCACTATTCTGTCCCTAAGCAATGAATACTATAAATAGCAGGGGATCAAAATAATAGTGAATGAATGGTTAGACAACTGTGCATCAGGCTGAGCCATCTCATCTGATGTGCAAATTCATGGTTCCTCTGATAGAAAGGCAAGGGCAAAGTGAAAATCATTTTCACCGCGCCCCTCCCCATCATGGCTGCTCTGCCATATAGGCCCTAACAAAGGCTTTCACATTCCATTTCACTTTAAGTAGGGTTTCTTGGGCTTATAAGTTTCAGGAAAAGCAGCTGACCCAGAGGGCACCAGGGACTCTACAGAAACAGAGAAGTAGTCATCTGAGTCAAGCTGATTCAGTAAAAGCAGCACTAACTAACTAACTAACTGAGAAGCTATATGATCTTAGATAAGTTACATCCTTGTTCTGAACCTCCACTTTAAAATTTAGGGCTGGGGTTTTGGCTTAGTAGTAGAGTGCTTGCCTAGCATGCGAGAGGCATTGGGTTCCATCCCTGGCACCACATAAAAATAAACAAATAAAATAAAGGTACTGTGTCCACCTACAACTAAAAAAATATTTTTTAAAAAAATTTATAGAGTGAACCAGAAAATCTTTTCTTCTAAAGTACTAAGACTGATTTCTAATTTCTGGCTAAGATTCTGATAATTTACCTGACAGGAGTGGAGAAAGTAGTATTAAAAACAATATTCAGTCTAGTTTGTTCCCCACTGATACTGTACATACCAGAATCTAGTTTCTTCTTCAAAAAAACTATTAGTTTTTAATGAGTGACTTCAAACTGTTAAGAGTTCAGAGTACACTTTTGGACAAATTAACTTCCACTCTTCTATCGCAGATAAAGCCCCACGCTTGGTGGCATCTCTCTAGCTCTGACTTCTGCGAACCTCTGGCAGGAAGAGGTATGGGAATGTGACTTACCTATACAGCTTGTATTTGGAAGCAAAAGCCTTGCCACAGTGCAGCTGTGGACAGCTATATGGTCTCTGCTCTGGATGGGGGAGGCTGTGAGGCCTCAGCTTCTCCCCATTTGAGAAGGGTGTCCCCGAGATTTCACATTGGCACTTCACTTGACTCTCTGCCTCCCGGCCCCGAGGCCTGGGAACTAGTTTCCAGCCCACTTCCTCCTCCTGCTTTGCATCTTGAATCCAGGGAGGGACGCTGGTGAAAAATGTGGTCATGGCAAGGCTAATGGCTTAGGGCCATGTTATTCAGAAAGCCTCCCCATCAGCTCCACACAGGCTCTCCGCTCTGTCACAGCCTTCAACACTGCAGCCTTCAGAAAACAATCTCTTCACCTGAAATATAAGAACACCTGGTGTTAGGAAGCCCAATACCATGAGAATATGGGCTCTGGAGGAAGACAGATCCCATTCCAATCCCAGCCCTTCCACTTAGAAGCTGTGTGATTTTCAATTACTTACCTTCCTGAGCTGTTTCCTCAATTATAAAATGGGCATAACCATCACCAAAATTTTCAGTGTTTTGAGGAATAATGAGATCATTAAATATAAAACACTCAGCAGAAGTTGAGGCACCATTAAGTGCTTAGTGGTAAATATTATAACTGGTACTACTTAAGCTAATAAGAAACAGGAAGATAGAAGTAACTAAAAGCTCTAAAACTCTAAGCTTTCTCTTCTGACTTCACTTTTACATCCTTTCTACTGAACCCAGAGACAGCAATTCTTCCTCCTCCTCCTGTTTACCCTCCCCCCTTATCACTACTTTCTGCAATTCCCTTCACAGAGGTGCTAAGGAGCAATAAAATGTCCAAAAGGCAACAGAGAAGGAAGAAGCTTTTACTTAGGAAATTTACACCCCAAGAGCCAGCCCTGTGCCAGATGTGCTTCTTATGGCACACTGACACCAGGAAGTTCTGTTTGAGGAGGCAATAGCAGAACCAATACCAGTCCCATCCTGACCTCTACCACCTCTCTGGTTCTCTTGGCCTCCAGGTCCAGTTCATACCTCTGTGGCAAAGCCTGTCCAACATCCCAAGGTGCTGGGTAGCCCCTATTACAGACTCTCAGGGCATATATGCACTTCTCCATTAGCAACAAGTAACACACTTGCATTAGAATTTAGATTTCTCCACCCAACTCTGATTCTGAGGGCTCCTATCATCTCTCTTAATGGGTCTAGGTATCGCCATACATCTAATATCTGGAAAAGGAATGTCAACTTGAAATCTGACCCATTCTATTGTTGGCAGAAGTGGTACCAGGAAGGGAGGAGGGCAGGAACAGTGGTGAAACATCTCCTTTCCTGACACCACCTCAGAAGAAAGGGATGGGAGTTTCCATACTGACACTCAAAAGGCGGACAACAGACCTACATTCACACTCATTAGAGCACACCACATATTACCAACTACAACGCACCCTGTTACAACAGGGAGATTCCCTTTGAAGAGATCATGTCAAATGTGGTCATATGGCTTTTCCATGTGAAGAGAGCAAAGGGGGTATCTGGGGACTGTCCACAAGAATCTAGGGAGGGCTCCAACTGTACAAACTAGCTGTGGGCTACAGAATGCTTGCTCAGCTCATTAGCACCTGCTGCTTACAGTGACCATTCATCCAACAGACTGGCCATGAACGAGATGATAGTATCAGCGGGTTCATGCCCCAGAGAGCTTTGCTCATCATTAACATGAGCTACATCCTGTTCAGGAACCATTCCCTCTTGTTGAAAAAATGTTGCAATGTAATGCGATAAACATTTCCCCATCATGAGTGGAGATGTGCCTAGACAGAGCTGCACACAGGTGGCCATGTTTTATGTGAATCATGTGCTGGGAGGGGGTAGGCAGCACTAAAAACTAGACCCACTTGAGCCTTCAAGTCATTATGGCATACTTGTGCTTCACTAAAAACCTCAAAGGCCTCTGTTCTCTGCCTTTCATTGTCTAAGTCCCCTCCTCCTTCGCAAGGGTGGAATTACCTGTTTATAATACCAGTGCTTACTATGCACCTTGGAACCGGGAAGACGGTGAGCTTGAGTGTGCATGTCTTGTTTGGAGGGAATTTCCCCTACCTTCAAAGTCAAATTCTGTTCTCCCTTCATATCTGAAATCATGCACTTCAGCCTCTGAAAAGTTGGGAATGGCAGCCAGAGGAAAGCAAGCACACTACTCTGGCTGATATGAGAGGGGAGCCAAACCCTGGAAATTCCGTAGGAACTCAGAAAGAGAATGGTACAGCCCCACCTCCCACACGTCCACCTCATCTATTCTCTCAAACATGCACAAACAAGACATAGTAGTTTAGCATGCAGCTACTGAAAGAGTGAGTAATGGGCTTCTAGGAAAGAGGCTGGTAATGGCTCAGAAGAGCTCATGAGGTTGTACTGATAGAACCAAGGAAGAAGGCGGGAACCATGTGCTTGCCTTGATCTGCACTTAATGAGGTTAAAAGAAAAGAGTCACCACCCAGATCCTAGTCCCCTATAGGCCTTTTTAAAGGCACAGTAAACTGGGAATGGTGGTGCAGTCCTGTAATCCCGGTGACCCAGGAGGCTTGAGGCAGGAAGAAGACCCCAAGTTTGAGGTCATCCTTGGCAACTGAGAGAGAACCTAGGCAACTTTGTGAGACCTTGTCTCAAAATGAAAAATAAAAAAAGGGCTGCGAATGTAGCTCAGTGGTTAAGCACCCCTGGGTTTAATTCCCAATGCGCGTGCGTGCGCACACACACAAAATGGCACAGTAAAGACCTTATCTGTCACCAACAAGCTGTTGTATTACCTAGGAACCCTTTGGGAATCTAGTTCTCTGTCCTTTGTTTGAAAACTCCTGTGATCCAGAAGATTCCTGGATTTGTTTCACATAATCAGGCCTGTTCCTTCAGACTTCTCCTTCCTCCACGAAACTGTAAAAGAATTCTGCTTCTCTTTCAAAGCTGCTCTTCTGGTCTCACGCTCTAACTGTAACAACTACAGAAAGCTGACAGAACCTGTTCCCATAAAACAAACACAATCCCTCCCAGACTGGTGTAACTCAGTATATTTTCAGCCTAGGATCCTTTCTGGCATCTGATCTGAAGGTGGAGGTAGTATGGAAAGAACCTTGGACTTGCTATCAGAAGAACTGCCACTTAACTGGTTGTGAAGTCATAGGCAAGTTACTTTACTTCTCTGAAACGCTTTCCTTAATTTCTAAAATAGAGATTATTCTCCTTATAAAATTCTCCTAGAGGATTAAGTGAAATAATTCTCTTAGAAGTGACATGAAACATGCTGAATACATGCAATGTCCTCTCTGAGGTCCAAGTTGCATCTGCCTCTTTTCTGCACCGCACCTGACTAGTACTTCTTTTTTTCCCTTCAGTATTTTCTCAAGCCTAAGAGTGAGTTTCCTTCCCTTCCTGACATGTCCCCAGAATGCAGCCTTCCGCTTTTCCCTCACAACTAACCCTCAGCACATCCATTCTAACCAGTTCCTTCACCTTCCTCTAGCACATCTCCTGGGCCAGACTTTTCTCTTGCCTGAATAGCCACTTTATTATGCTTTTATTGTACCCTCTTCTATTATTAAGTCTCCATACCCCAAATAGGAATGTTTGCTCAAAACTGTGATTGGCCTCTGAAAGCTGAAACGGAGACATACTGCTCCTGTCTGTCCTCTGCTGTATGCCATGATGCCTGCTGCCCTCTGATGAAACTATAGTTTTTATGGTGTTACATCACCTCTATAGAAACTGCGTTCTTTCTCCATTATTAGCCAGTTTCCTCATCTGTAAGCTAAAATACTTACTTCACAGGCTTGTTGTAAGGATTATTTTAGGCAGGTATGCAAAGAGCTCAGCATTGGGTTTGGTCTGCTATAAGTGCCCAACGAAAGAGAGCTATTACCTCTGTCTTTGTATTAAATTACATGTTCCCACTTTCTATTACCACACTCCAATTCTCCCAACTGCCCCCCAAAATCCTGTTGAACTAGTTCCCTGTCCCTGCAAGGAAAGGGTTAATCTCTGAGAGTTCTTAACTAAAGAGACCCACAGAGGATTAACAGCTCCACTTCAGTGACTACCCTAAAATAGCTTTTATCCCTCCTGCCCAAGAGCTACTTGGGGATCTGAAGAACTCAATTCAACACCTGCCGAGGAGGAACACACCCAGGAACGTTCCTTGGGGTGGACTGAATCTTCCCTTAAAGCAAAAGTCAAAATAGCAACTAGGAAACTATATATAGAATAGGTCCTGACTTGGGATACCCAAAAAGCATACTGGTTGGCTGGAAAACAGTGAGAAGCAAAGGGAAATGGGAATAGCTGTCGTGCTCACTCAAACTCACACATACAACACTTCAGAGTGGTGGGAGAATTAAATTACAGGGAGGCTGGAGAGTCTCAATGACTTGCATCATTCCAAGAAACATCAAACAGGATTAACAGGGGGTTGGATTTACTCTTGTGCTGCTAGTTCTTCTGTCAGTTTAGATGGGCCCTCTTTGGACTTCCTCAGATTCCTGCAGCCTCCCACTCCTGGGGAGGCCTTGAGCAAATGGCTGCAACTCACTAAAGCCTCGTTTTCACCGTGAGGAAACTCCATGAGACACCCCACCCCCCCAATCTTGTGGCCTCACCTTGGACACTAGGGGAGGATTAGAAACCCAAGGCCAAACTATCACAGTCCCAAGCTCACAGGTGGAAAAACACACAAGGCAGGAGACAGGCTACACTTACAGGTGAAAAGCACCAACTCCCCCACACTGTTGGCCCTTATCTTCCACCTTACAGGAGGCCACCAAACTGGGCCATAGCATGGGGCTGGTTTTGCAGGAAAAAGCCTGCCCACCCAGACTAGTTTGTAGACCACCCCATGTAAGGTGGGAAATGTTAAATTCCCCAAGACTGGGAGATGGGAGTGGACACATGGGGAGGAAACAGAAATTCAGGATCTCAGGGATGGGAAGGAAGGTCAAACATGGTAAAGAATCATGAGAGCGAGTTATGTGCGTTTCCAAGGGACCCCCAAAAGAGAGAGAGATGGGGATTCTAAGGGTTGGAGGAGGGCTCTGGGAGTTGAAGACGTTCTCAATTCTCTGAATTTCAAGAGAATCTCAAAATGGGTAACCCCGATGGAAAATGTCTAAAGTTCGTGAAAACAGTCACTAGGAAGGGAACTACAAGTAGGGCTTATTTGGGTTCTCCAGACCCAGGTATTTGATGGAAGCCTCAAAGGGGGTTATGTAAACCTCGCAAATGAAACAGGATAAAAAGCGGACTGTTTGGAGCAGGAAAGAGGGGGTTATGTGGGTCGGGGTAGGCGTGTCTAAGGGAGGGAGCAGGTGCAGCTTATCTGCGTCCCCCAGACCGGGGTCCTTGGTAAGGTCGGCAGCGCGTTATCTGGGTCTCCAGGGAGCCTGGGGGTCGGGACAGGAGGACCCTCAGGGCTGAGCCTCTAGATCTAAGAAGGAAGGGGGCCGGCGGGGTTTCTGCGGGTCCCCCAGGCATAGGTATGAGGTCCGGGGAAAGTTTTCGGCATCCTGGGGCCTATCTCGGGCCGGGCTGGAGCAGAAGGGGCCCCCAGTCGGGGGTGTGGACGACCGCGCTAAGGGGCCCAAAATGAGGGGCGCCGCCGCCCCTGGTGCCGGCGTGCGGGCGCAGCGAGACGACCTCCCACCCCGCTCCCCGCCGTCCCCTGGAGCCCTCGCCGCACTCACCGCGCTCGGAGCCCCGCGCTGCGGGCCGGGCCGCGCTCGGGCTCCGCCAGGCCCGCTCAGGCCCCGGTAGTGGCGGCGGTCCGGCCATTGTGCGGTGCATTGTGGGAGCCGCGCGAGCGGGCGCTCGGGCCGTGGAGGGGCGGTGCCGCGGGCTCTCTATGGTACCGCCCGCCGGCGGGCTAGAGCGGCCGGGGCGGCGCGCGGGCGGCGCGCGGGGACCGCCGGGAGCGGGGCGGACGCTCGCGCCCCTCCTTTCCTCCCCTCCTCTTCTCCCTGGCGCGCGCAGGCTCTGGAGCCGACATGGGCGCCGCCGCGCGGGCGCTGCGGCCTCTGGCACTGCGTGCGTCTGTGCTGCTACTGCTTCTGCCTCTCCCCGGGCTGCCCACGGGCTCCTGGGACCCGGCCGGTTACCTGCTCTACTGCCCCTGCATGGGTAAGGCCTCCCGAGCTCTCTGCTCAAATGGAGAAACTGAGACCGGGAGAGCAGCCACTCCTCTGAGGCGCTCAGATTCCTTGACAGGTCCAGGAGAGATCCCCAGAGCGTTGCAGGGTCTGCGCTTCTCCCCTCTGCCCTATTTGCGAGGGCACAGAGGGCCACGGTATCCACCTTTCCATTTGATGGATGAGAAAACTGAGGCTGGGAGAGGTTATGTGATTTACTCGAGGTCTAAGCCAGCCTGGAGTTCAGTAAACGGAGTTAGTGGGGCAGGATTTGATGTCACTGATCCATGCTAGCTCCAAGCGATTTCTTTCATTCATTCAACAAATATTTATGGGATACCTTTTCTGTGCCAGGCTGTGTTCTCTATTCTGAGAGTACGGATGTGATGAAACAAATAAACCCCAGCCTCTTTTAGAGCTGTATTTTAAATGGGGAAAATAGACAGTAGAAGATAAACGTGAAAAATAAGTAAGTACATGATTTTTCTCAAAGATAATGAAAACTACAGTAAAATAAAAGAGATCAGGGTAAGGAAGAATCTAAGGGCCAGCGAAGAATGCAGTTTCAGTGGAATGAAGTATCACTGAAAAAGTAATTCCTTCTTAGAATCCTCCAATGGCCTCCAGGTTCCTGACCATGGCCCTTGGGCCGCTGCATTAATTGATCGACTGCTGTTCACCTCCACAACTCCCTTCTCTCCTAACCCTCCAGCTGCAGCCTTTCTTTTCCTCACACCCAGGTGTGTGAGGAATGCCCTCCGGTTCACTTTTGCCCTACCAACTCCTTCCTATCCTCCAGGTCTCAGCATAAATGTCACCAGAGAGGACTTGACTGATTTCTACCCAAGTAATCTCCTTACTAGTTTCCATCATCAAACCTTTTCCTTTCTTTCTTGAAATTTTAAAAAAGTCATCATTATGTATTTGTTTACATGTGTGGTATCTCCCCATCGGCACTGAGTGCCTTGAGGGGAGAGATCTTATCCATGCTTGCTCCTGTATCCTAGCATGGAGATCATGCTGGGGATAGCAAAAGTAATCAGATACAATCCTTCCACCTGAGGCATTCACAGGCTGAGAAAACGGCCAGTTCGAAAAGCCAGGAAATGAGAAAAGACATTTGAGGAAAAGAATTGAAGAAACTCAAATCCAAGGGCTGGGATTGTGGCTCAGCGGTAGAGAGCTCGCCTAGCATGTGCAAGGCCCTGGGTTCGATCCTCAGCACCACATTAAAAAAAATAAAATACAATAAGATATTGTGTCCATCTACAACTAAAAAATAAATATTAAAAAAAGAAAGAAACTCATATCCAAGTTGGGAGAGTGCAACTGGATGGGGGTTTGTGAATGGATCTTAGGGATAGGGGTAGTGTGAGAATTGTAGATTTATGTTGGGAGAAATAGCAAGGAATCTGGAGTTGCTGAGGCTTAAGGAGCAGAACCTATAGGGCCTTGAATGCCAGACTCAGGAGTCCAACTTGCTCTCCTTGGTATCCTGGGTCTCCCCACCCCTGGGTGCCCAATGTCCTTGATGCCTGAGGCCTCACCTTAGCCACAACATACCATTTCCAGGGCGCTTTGGGAACCAGGCTGATCACTTCTTGGGCTCCCTGGCATTTGCAAAGTTGTTGAACCGCACCTTGGCTGTACCTCCGTGGATTGAGTACCAGCATCACAAACCTCCCTTCACCAATGTGAGTACTTCCCACTGACCTTGGCCCTTGTCCACGCTTCCTCAGTCTTGCTGACTTCTGCTTGACCTCCAAGTCCTCTGGGCTTTACCTCCTACTCCTCTGAGTTTGTCTTACTCTCAGAACTCTTTTTCCCTGGAATAACAATGGCTAACATTTTTCCAGTCCCTGCTGTGTGCTGACTCTATTCTGAGCACTGCATGAGGATTAGCTCATTTCTCCCACCTCTCATCCTCATGAGGAAACTGGGGTTTAGAGAGGTTAGGTAACTTGCCCAAGGTCACACAGCTTATAGGAGTAGTAGACCTAGAATTTAAACCCATGTCTGTCTGACTTCAGAGTTTGAGACCTAAAGTTTCCATTTCTAGTCCTGATTGATTCCACCATCTGTGCATTCCCATTAGTAGGTGATGGGTGCAGGGCACAATAGTGTATGCCTATAATCCCAGTCTGAGATAGGAGAATGGTAAGTTCAAGGCCAACCTCAGCAATTTAGCCAGACCCTGTCTCAAAATAAAAAAATGAAAGAGGCTGGAGATGTGACTCAATGGTTGAGTACCCCTGGGTTCAATCCCTAATACTGGAAAAAAAAAAAAAAAAGATGGATATGATTATCAGTTTTGAAGAAGAAACTAAGGTTGCTGAGTTCAGTGGTGCATGCCTGTAATCCCAGCAGCTTTTCAAGCTGAGGCAGGAGGATTGCAAATTCAAAGCCAGTGTCAGCAACTTAACAAAGCCCTAAGCAACTTAACAAGACCCTGTCTCAAAAAATAAAAAAGGGCTGGGGATATGGCTTAGTGGTTAAATATCCCTGGGTTAAATCCCTAGTACAAAAAAAAAAAAAGAAAGAAACTGAGGCCAAGACCACAACCCCAAGTATTCTGGTTGCAGTGCTGCCTCTTATCCCATCAGGGGACTCCCTCAGCATGGTCTGCTTAGCATCCTCTGATTCCTGGCTTATCTTTGCGTCTTAATGACCCCATGTCTGCCTTTGTTCACACCATATCTCATGGGCCTGACAGTAGGAACTTAATTAGTATTTAATGAATTGACAAAAAACTTTAATAGATGTAAGAAATAACACTAAGTATATACAAAACACTACATTTTATTCATAAAGCCTTTTCTCTGCATAGATTGGTCTTTTGTTTTTTTATACCAGGAATTGAAACCAGGAGCACTAAACCACTGAGCCAGCCCTTTGTATTTTATTTTTTATTTTGAGACAAGATCTCACTAAGTTACTTAGGGTCTTGCTAAGTTGCTGAGGCTGACTTTGAACTTGTGATCCTCTTGCTTCAGCCTCCTGAGTCCCACAGGTTTTATTTTCCATTTTTCATACAGGAATTTGAGTTTCCATTTCCAGTCCTTTTCCACCCCTCTTACAAGTGATGGGGAATCACACCCAGGGCTTTGTGAATGTTAGGCAAGCATCCTACCATGGTGCTATAGCCAAGCCCTGGAGAGATTGAAATTAAAAGCCGGAGTATCTGAGACCAGAGCTTAGCTTATCCACTTAACTAATTGTGTGACCTGGGCAAGGTACCTTTTTGTACCTCAGTTTCCTCATTTTTTTTTTTAAGTACCAGGGATTCAACTCAGGGTGCTTAACCACTGAGCCACATCCCCAGCCCTTTTTATTATTTTTTTTTTAATTTTTTTTTTTTAAATATTTATTTATTTATTTTTCGGTGGACACAACATCTTTGTTTGTATGTGGTGCTGAGGATCGAACCTGGGCCGCACGCATGCCAGGCGAGCGCGCTACCACTTGAGCCACATCCCCAGCCCCTATTTTTTTTTTTTTTTAATTTTGAGACAGGGTCTCACTAAGATGCTTAGGGCCTCACTAAGTTGCTGAGGTTGTTTTTGAACTTACAATCCTCCTTCCTCAGCCTTCCGAGTTGCTGGGATTACAGGCATGCATCACAGCCCAACCAGTTTCCTCTTCTTTAAAATAGCTTGGTAATAACTGTCCCTATATCCCGTGTAAGAACTGAATGGGTTAATGGTGGTACCATGCCTGGGATGTTGTCATCTGCCTCCTTCTTAGAGTCACCTGAGCTCCTCAATGCGAAGAACTTAGGACACAAGAAGTTCTCAGTTCTGGGACCTGTCAGCGTTCTCATTTTTTTTTTTTTTTTTTCTCACTCTTACCTTTAGATGTTGCCCATCCACCTCCCTCTAACTTGCTTGCTCTCTCCTATGGTCTTGGCCAGTTGTGAGTCTCCACTTCCTTTATTTCTGTGGGTTACTCAACCTGCCCCAGTTGGGCTTTCCTTCTCTGCTGTGACTGTTCTCACTGAGGTCACCAGGGACCTCAGAATTGCTAAATCCAGGGTTTATTTCTCAGTCTTCATCTCACCTGACTTCCTGTGAGTCTCTCTCCTCCCTGAACTTTCTTATTCCCTTGGCTTCCAGGACACCACTGATTCCTGCCACAGCCCTGACCTGTCAGCATTTCCCTCTTTGTGTTGTGCTGGGAGCACCTCTCTCTCCATCCACTGTTTAGTTGTTGGTGTGTGTCCTCTTTCTATTTTCGAGCTCTGTGGGCTCAGATGAGTCACCTAGGTTCTGTATGCCCAGGTTTCTTTATAAATATACTGGAGGTGGTAGAATTGATGAATAAATCCTTGTAAAGTGATGAGTATAATACCTGGCACTAAATCAACACTCAATAAGTAGTAGTTACTATTATTATCATTATTTGCTTTGCTATAAATTTCTGTTGACTCTTATGGCTTTCACTGTTTTCCATGTACCTATCCAATTTATGTATGGCTAACACTCTTTGATCACAAGCCTGAATTTCTGACTCCTAGACCCTTGAGTCTACTTGGATGTCCTTCAGATATCTCAGATCACAGCCCGAACTGAACTTGGCATCTTTCCCCACAAACCTGTCACTGTCTGTAATCCCAGCCTTATTTTATGCCACGCCATTCACCTGGATGCCAAGCTAGGAACCTAAAGGTTCCCCTTTGTGCCTCTCCTTACGTACATACATACAACCCCTGTTTCACCTTCCTTTGCATCTTGACCTGTCTGAGCTGCTCCATCTCTCACTTAAATGTGTGGAAGCTGCCCAGTGAGTGCATGCTGAATGATACTTGAACAAAGAAAAAGACCATTGCAGTAACCTCCTAATTCCTCTCTCCTTTGCCACCAGAATGATCTTTCAATATTTTTTGTGCTAAAAAAATCCTTCAGCTTGGGTCTGGGGTTGTGGCTCAGAGGTAGAGCGCTCACCTAGCATGCATGAGGCACTGAGTTCGATCCTCAGCACCACATAAAAATAAAATAAAGGTATTGTGTCTGCCTATAACTAAAAAATGAATATTAAAAAAATCCTTTAGCTATACTATTATTGCTAATAGCTAAGGTGTCTAAAATCTATTCATTGGAACTCCAATTTCCAGTCTTAGAAGGGTGCCATAGTTGAATCAGTTTGGGAAATATTCTTAATTCCTTATCCCCCAAAACTTTCAGATTCACAATGCACATTAGCGTGTTTAAGGCCCTAAAAAGACCTGCTGCAATAAAGAAGCAACTTAAAATAGCATTTCCTTGGCTTCGTTAGCTCTGGAGCTCCTTTATGCAGAACCTTTTATCCATCTGAACTAGTGCAACATGTTTAGGAATCCCTGACCAATAGGATGAAGTTCAAGTTTTATTCCATGGTGTTTAATTTTTTTTTAATCTAAAAAGAATACAAAGATGAATACAACCATCACTCATATATCACTGCTAAAAGTGATAATTAATACTGTTTCCTTTTTGCTTCACTTTTTCTTTTTGTTAATAAAAGAAATGAAGCATTGCAGATAAAGTTGGTGTAGGACAACTTTTCTTGGCCTCTGTTCGAATCCCAGTCCCTCTCCCCACCCCCAGAGGCAGCCACTCCATAGATTCAGTGTATTGGGTGTAATTTCTGTGCTCTTCCCTATTCTTCCACTGTATCATTGAGCATCCTTGTACTCAACTCCAGTGAAAAGTGAAAGAACTTCTCCAGGGCAAATACCTAACAGTAGAAGGAACATTTTAATTGTATTGAATTAAAATGCTGACAGCTTGCATCCCAAAGTGGTTTGTCCAAAATATACAGGTCAGCTGCCAGCCATGTGTGAGAGTGCCTAACTCCCACATCCTTTGTAACAATTAGTGTTAGCATTTAAATGTTTTGCTGGCCTCCTGGGCCAGAAGTGATGTCTCTTCATAACTGTAATTTGCATTTTCCTAATTATTGGTGAGGTTGCACATCAGTTGAGAGTATTGGCTATTTGGGTTTCCTTTGCTGTGAGTTATTCACCTCTATCCTTTGCCCATTATTTGTCATATAGATCAGCTGTCATTTTTTAGCACGAGGGATACTACTATTCACTTTTGAATTTGCAGATTTAATCCCCCATTTTGTCTCTGTCCTGACTTTAGTGTTCTTTTTCTCAGTGCTAAGGATCAAACCCCGGGCTTCATACATGCTCAGCAAGTACTCTACTATTGAGCTATGTCTTGAGCCTATTTTGGTGTCTTTTAACAAAAGTTTTTCATTGTCAAGTAATCTACAGTGTCTGGAATTAGGAGTGTATGGTTTTAGTTAATGTCTCTAAACTGGAACACTGAGGTAGGACCTTTGCCCCTCCTTTTCCCGTAGCTCCATGTGTCCTACCAGAAGTACTTCAAGCTGGAGCCCCTCCAGGCTTACCATCGGGTCATCAGCCTGGAGGACTTCATGGAGAAGCTGGCTCCCACCCACTGGCCCCCCGAGAAGCGGGTGGCATACTGCTTTGAGGTGGCAGCACAGCGAAGCCCTGATAAGAAGACATGCCCCATGAAGGTGGGTCCTGTGAGCCTGGGGGCCCTTTCTTTATCTTTTTTTTCAAGTTATAGATGGACACAATATCTTTATTTATTTATTTGTTTATTTATTTTATGTGGTGCTGAGAATTGAACCCAGTGACTCACACATGCTAGGCAAGTGCTCCACCACTGAGCCCCAGCCCCAGCCCCAGCCCCTTGGGGGCCCTTTCTGCCTGTTCTATGTCCACTGGACTCCTGAGATTGTGTAGTAGCACGTTATGTAGGGGAGGGTCCCAGAAGGGCTTAGAATAGAAGATGGAGATTTAGGTTTATTTTTGGCATTTATCAGCAGTGTCACCTTGTCCAGAATTTGCTTCTTTGAGCCTTAATTTCTTCCTACAAAATAGCGATGCTAGGTCTGGGGTTGTAGCTCACTGGTAGGTAGAACACTTGCTTAGCACATATGAGGCACTGGGTTCAATTCTCAGCACTGCATATAAATAAATAAAATAAAGGTCCATTGACAACAACAACAAAAAAAAAACAGCCAAATGAGGAAACTTAAAAAAAAAAAAAATGGAAATGCTAGTCTCTGTTCCTTCTTTCTCAGAAAATGTCAAGACAACCAAGTATAAGAATGCTTGTGAAGTATAAGGTGCCACATCAATAATAATAACTAATCCTCATTATGTCAGATGCCGTACTAAGAGCTTTGTGCATATTAATTCATTTAATCTCAAACTGCTCCATGAAGAAAGTACTAATGATATCCCCATTACATAGACAGGATGTTGAATATGGCAAAGAGGTTCAAAATTTTGCTCAAAGTCACACAGCAGATGTGGTAGTGCTGGGATTCAGCCCCAGATAGTTTGGCTTCTTTGTCCATCCTCTTAACTTGAAGACTTTTCTGCCTCTCAGAAGGTAGATGAGAAGTGCCATATTTTATTAGTAGAAATTTGCAAATTTCTGGCACTTTGGGAATAAAATAATCCCCAAATCTATCATTCAGTATGGATGCTGCAGTTTGGGGAGAGTGGTTAGCAGAACCATGAAATTTGAGAAAGGAGATCTAGCTTGCAGCTCCCAGCAGTGCCCTCACATGCTGTGTGATATTGGGCATGTGTCTTACTTTCTCTGAGCCTTGGATTCCATGTTGGAAAACAAGGGTGGTCTATTAGCCAGTCTTGAAAGTCTACTGAAGCTCTAGTCCATGGATCCAATCCCAAGGTCTGTTCCTCCCTGGGCCCACCAGTTCTTCAGGGGTGGTGGAACTTGACTTGTGAATGGGAAAGACTATCAAACACTAGAGAATATTTCCTACTGGAAACTGGAATGGAAACCAAGCAACTCTTTTCAGCCCTCAGCCCAGGGAGCCATCCTAAGAGGGTATTTCATCCTGAGTCAGAGCACCCAGGGTTCCCCTACAGTTCCTTAGCCCCAACCCTGGATGGTCTTTCCTTCGTCTCCCAAGTGAGTCTTCCATCACTCTTTTCTTACAGGAAGGAAACCCCTTTGGCCCATTCTGGGATCAGTTTCATGTGAGTTTCAATAAGTCGGAACTTTTTACAGGCATTTCCTTCAGCGCTTCCTACAAAGAACAATGGATTCAGAGGTACTTTGAGGGGACAGCAGTGGTGGGGTCAGGGAGGGACATGGGGCTCATGGGCATCCAGCACTCCTAACCCTCTCCCCTCTACCCCACCCTGATGTGTGAGATGAAAGGTGTAGGCACTCTGTCTGTTGAACTTGTGATTCTGTGTGATCTGTTCCCATTCAAAGCCTGACACGGTGGGACATTGACCTGCCACAAGTTGAGCAAGAGTTTATTGGCTGATAAGGGATGTCATAAAAAGAACATTGTGCAGTCACATGCATCTCGATTTCCTCCTCCGGGCGTGAGAATCACTCCCCTGTGCCTTCCTCTTCACAAGGTGAAAATTGGAAACAGCTCTTAGAGAACAGCTTCAGGTGCAGACTGAGAAGTGATGTCATCCAGATAATTACTGGATGTGCTTTATTAATTGTATGCCAGTAGGCCCTATTAAGAAAAAATAGGTTAGCAGGGCACAGGCAGAGGCTGTGAAATATTTATAGAGCGTTTGTCATGTGTGAGTCAGTACTTAGAGGCCACAGGTAATGTGTAAAAATGAAGGGGCAGCAGTGGTGGGGTCAGGGAGGGACATGGGGCTCATGGGCATCCAGCACTCCCAACCCTCTCCCCTCTACCCCCACCCTGGGGAGCTGTAATCTAGTCCTGGTGATGATAACTCACATAGGGTACGGACTGTGGCATGGCAGGAAAGAGCCTGGTCTTAGCAGTCAGGCTGGTTAGGAGACGAGAGGAACATATGAATTCAGGCATAGTCATAGCACTTGGCATTCAGTAGGCCAGAGGTAGACAGATGTAGAAAACAAGCACAGGCTCAGGAGTAAGACAATCCAAAGCTCTGACACAGCTCAGCCTCCTTCTCAGGAATCTCTGGAAAAGCCACTCCAGCTCTCTGGCTCCAATTTCTTCCTTGGGTTAGTGGAAAGAGTAGTAACAGTATCTTCTCCTACCACAGAAAATGCGTAGCAAAAATGCATAGCATATAATAAGTGGCCAGCCAAAGTTAGCTCTCACGTGCCTTTTTTATATGAGATTTTATAAGATGGCTATTATCAGTCCCCCCACTTTTTAAAATTTTTAGTGTTAGGGATCGAACGCAGGACCTCACGTATGCTAGGCAAACATACTGCTACTGAGCTACAGATCCCCAGCCCTCAATTTCCATTTTACAGGTCCGAACTGGCTTGATGAAGTTAAATAATGTGCTCAAGGTCATAGACCTGTTGCGTAGGCTTCTAGGATCTGTATGTAAAAATTTTCCTCCATTGTGGGGATTGAACTTGGGGAACTCTGCCATTGAACTACATCCCCAGCCCTTTTTATTTTGAGGAATTTGAGGGTGCTGCTTGAGATTGAATCCAGGAGTATTTAACCACTGAGCAACATTACTTTTTTATTTTGAGAAGAGGTCTCACAAATTTGCTTAGATCCTTTCTACATTGCTGAGGCTGACCTTGAACTTGCAATCCTCTTGCCTCAGCCTCCTGAGTTGCTGGGATTACAAGCAAGTGCCACCACACCCAGCTTGAAGCAGAGTCTTGCTAAATTGCCTAGGCTGGCCTTGAATTTGGGATGATCCTCCTGGCTTAGCCTCTTGAGTTTCTGGGATTATAGGCATGTGTCACTGAGCGTGGCTGTGTATATAAGTCTTAAAGAAATAATAAGAGCTAATATTTATTTCATGCTTAAAATGTGCCAGGTACTGTTCTTAAGTCTTCAAATGTATTGACTTGGGTTTAATCTTTCCATGAGTCTACAGGATATATTGTCATCTGTGCTTTACACATAAAGAAATGGAAGCAGAGAGGAGTGAAGTTACTTGCCTGAGGTCACAAAGGTTGAAGTAGCAGACTCCCTGGTAACTTGCTTTCTGTCTTTACAGATTCACCTATTTGCCAGGTGTGGGGTGCATGCCTGTAATCCCAGCAGTTCAGGAGGCTGACAGGAGGATTGCAAATTCAAAGCCAGCTCAGCAACAGTGAGGCACTAAGCAACTCAGTGAGACTTTGTCTTTAAATAAAATACAAAATTGGGCTGGGGATGTAGCTCAGTGAGTGAGTGCCCTTAGGTTCAATCCCTGGTACCAACCAAACAAATAAAAAAATCACCTATTCTGTGAACCTGTTATAGGTAGAATCATTCAGTATTTGTCTTTTTGTGTCTGGTTTATTTCATGTAGAAAAACGTCTCCAAGGTTCATCAGTATTGTGGCACATGTCAGAACCTCAGTCTTTTTAAGACTGAGTAGTATTGCTTGTATGTATATAACACATTTTGCATGTCCATTCTTCTCTCTCTCTTTTTTTTTTTTTTTAAACCAGGGATCGAACTCAGTGGTGCTTCACTAGGCCACATCTTAGTGTCTTTTTTTTTTTACTTTGAGATAGGGTCTCAGTAAGTTACCTAGTACCTTGCTAAGTTACTGAGACCTACTATTTTTTTCTTTAATATTTTATTTTAGTTGGACACAGTACCTTAATTTTATTTTAATGAGTGCTGAGGATCGAACCCAGCACCCCGCACGTGCTAGGCGAGTGCTCTACTGCTGAGCCACAACTGAGGCTTCCTTTGAACTTGCAATCCTCCTGCCTCAGGCTCCTGAGCCTCTGGGATTACAGGCGTGCACCACGGTGCCTGGCTCCATTCATCTCTTGATGGACTCTTGTGTTCGCTGGGTGGTGTTTGCATGTGGTTCTCTTATGGCTGCAGTCAGCTGCCATGACTCAAGTCATCTGAAGACTTGATTCAGTTACGTGGCCACATCTCACTCGTGACTGGTGATGATGCTGGGTATTACCAGGGAGATCAGCTGGGACCATCCACAGCCTGTGTATACATGATCTCTCCTGTGGCCTGAGGTTTTACAGCATGAGAACTAGTTTCTGAGAGGGAGCATTCAGGCAGTGTCCCAAGAGACAGAAAGTAGAAACTGCTGGCTCCCTAATGCCTGGCCTGGCAACCTGCACAGTGTCACTGCAGTCAAATTGTGAGGAACATAGAACTCACCTATGGGAGGAGATTCAAAGTTTTGATGGCCATTTTTTTCTTGAATGTTATTTTGCTCATTTGTTTTATTTGTTTTGAGATGGTGTCTTAGTGTCTTGTGTCTCACTATATTGTCCAGGCTGGTTTTGGACTCTTGGGCTCAAGTGATCCTCCCACTTCAGCCTCCTGAGTACCTGGGACTATAGCTGCACACCACCATGCCTGGTTTTGATGGCTATCTTTATTCTGCCACACAAGAGCCAGGCACGGTGGTACATGCTTGTAATCCCAGCAACTCAGGAGACTGAGACAGGCGAATCTCAAGTTCAAGGCCAGCTGAAGCATTTTAGTAAAACCCTCAGCAACTTAGTGAGATCCTGTCTCAAAATAAAAAATAAAATGGGCTGGGGATGTAGCTCAGCAGTAAGGTACTCCTGGGATCAATCCCCTGTATAATTGATAAAGAAATAGATAGACAGATAGATGGATGAACTGCCACATAAGAAAGCAGGGGCCAGACTGTACAGTGCTTTATAGGCCTTTGTGAGGCAAACTGTTAGGAGCCTGTGGATGATCAGTTTTACAAGTGGGTGAGAGAGTATTTTATTTTAACTATTTTGTAAGCAGACGCTTGCTGTAAAAAAAAAAAAAAAATTGTCCTTGAGGATGGAAGGTAGAGTGTAGAGTAGAACCCAAGGGTGCAGCTATACCTGGACTCATTGTATGACTGGGCAGCTGTTGCCCTTTTCTGGCCTCAGTGCTCCATCTATAAAAGGAAGGGGTGAGCAAGATCAGTCCCCACCAAGTAGATCAGTGGTTTCCAAACAATCCTCAGAGTTCCTGAGAACTGCCTGCAGAGCCATTGTGGGGACCAGAAGGGTCCCCCAGAGACCAATTTGGAAGGGCTCAGTTCCTCCTGTCCACTACCTTCAACCAGTACTTAAGTCTCTTGTATATCAGGCCTCCAAATAAAGTAAAAGTACTTTGTGGGCCACAGATTTAAGGCATATTGAACTTAAGTTAGGGTACATGTAACCGAAAACCCAAAAATAACTGCAGACTAACATAGAGTTTACTGTTCTTAAGTAAATGAGGTATTGGAATGTGCAGCCCAGGGCAGGGTGGCACTTCCATAGTGGCATCAGGAATAAGGCTCCTGTCTTTCTACTCGTTTGTCCTACTAGCTTTTTTTTTTTTTTTTTAATATTTATTTTTCAGTTTTTGGTGGACACGCATCTTTATTTTATTTTTTATGTGGTGCTGAGGTTTGAACCCAGCGCCCTGCGCATGCCAGGCTAGCACGCTACCGTTTGAGCCAAATCCCCAGCCCTGTCCTATTAGCTTTTATCCGCAGTATGACCTCCTGGGCCAAGATGAGAGATGAAGCTCTGGCCATCACACATCATATTCCAGGCAACTTGGAGGTCAAAAGGGGCAGAAGAAAGGCAAAGCCCTACCCTCCTCCCAACCCCACCAAAGAGGGACTGTGTTACCTGTGTTGGCTTTGAACTCTTAAGATCAAGCAATCCTCTTGCCTCAGCCTCTTGAGTAGCTGGGACTACATGCCTGCACCATTGCATCCAGATAGCCTCGCCTTTTTAAGGAGCCTTCCTAAAAATTCATTGTAACTCTTTTGTTTACATCTCACTGACTAGTGCAAAGACCCATAAGCCATCCCTCGCTGCAAGAAATTTGGAGAAATGTCTTTATTTTGAGCTTCCAAGTATCTAGCTGAAAGTTGGATTATAGGAAAAGAAGACAGATAATTCTCTCCCACCAAGTGATTTCTGAGGTTCTTTTCAGCTCTGCTGGTTCTGAGTCTATGAATACCAGAGCAGAGCTTTAATTCAGCAGGTATTTATTGTACATTTCCTTTTGGGAGGCTATGGGCCACCGTGTTGAACCGTTCTTATAAAGATACATAATATGTCATTCTCCCAGCCTGCACCCTCCCCAAGAGGACATAAACAGGTGAAATCAGACTGAGACCTGAAGGATGAGAGGGAGCCAGCTTTGCAAAGAGCTGGAAAGAAGGTAGTCCTTTCTGGCAGGGACATCAAAAGCAAGGCCCTGATATTCTTTTTTTTTTTTTTTTAAGAGAGAGAGAAAGAGAACCCCAATATTTTTTTTTTTTAAGCCAGGCGAGTGTGCCACTGCTTGAGCCACATCCCCAGCCCTTGGCCCTGACATTCTAATGTCCCTGTGTCCTCTGCACTCAGCATGATGTCCAGCCACAAAGGTATGCTGAATGGATGCTGTGCAGAGAGGAACCCCGACCTGTTGGAGAATCTTAGCAACATGGGTGAAGTAGTGAAGTGAGCCCTAGAGCCAGCTGCCTTCTGCTGGATAGTGACCAGGCTAAGGGCTGACCTAGGGCCAATAATCAGGGGGCATCGCATGTGGAATGGTCAAATTTTCTTTCTAGTCAAGATCTTACTTCCTGCTTGCTTTCCTGACAACATCCTCTGACCTCAGAGCAAATAATCAAATCAATCTTTTTTTTTTTTTTTTTTTTTTTTTTTAATATTTATTTTTTAGTTTTCGGCGGACACAACATCTTTGTATGTGGTGCTGAGGATCGAACCCGGGCCGCACGCATGCCAGGCGAGCGCGCTACTGCTTGAGCCACATCCCCAGCCCCTCAAATCAATCTTAGCTTCTTGCTGCATGTTGGGTCAGAGCTGATATTGTCCCACTTGGGCAACTCTGTGCTGGTCCAGGTAGAGGGGTCAGACATTCAAGGGTTAGTTGCAGGATTTTCCCAAGAGATCGGGGACAGCTCAAATTGTGATTTTATCCTAATGATCCAGGCCCCTGGAAGATTAGAAAATGCTTGCTTTCCTTTCAAAGTTCTTTGAGGTGGGGGCTGGGGTTGTGGCTCAGTGGTAGAGCGCTCACCTAACATGTGCGAGGCCCTGGGTTCGATCCTCAGCACCATATAAAAATAAATAAATAAAATAAAGATATTGTGTCCAACTACAACTAAAAAATAAATATTAAAAAAAAATTCTTTATGGTGACATCTGAAAGGAGTTTAGCTAAAATCCTGACCCGTGGATATTAATCTGAGGACCTAATATGGGCCAGGACTTTAGCTAGTATATTAATATTAATATATTCCTCCTTCAACTCCTGACAGCCTGACTTGGTCTTTCTAATAAGATCACTGACTCTCTCATTCATTCATTCATTCATTCAGAAAGTATTTATGGCAACTACTGTGTGTTGAGGCCTGTGCTAGGGCCTGAGAATCAGAAGAATAAGTCACAAACTCAAATGTTGAGATGCTCATTGGACTGGGTGGGGAGAAGGGAGTGAAGTCTTAGGAGTTAAGAACATAGGTTTTGAAGGAGGTTGTTTAGACTCAAATCCCAGCTCCACCAATTCTTAGCTATTTGACTTTTGCACGTTATATAACCTCTTTGTGCCTCAGTTTCCTCATCTGCCAAAGAAAAAATAATAAAACTTACCTCACAGGGCTGTTATGGAAATTTCATGAGCAATTAGAACATGGCCTATTACTTAATAAGACGCAGTAAGGCCCTAAAAAGGTCTGGGAGTTGGGCATGTAGCTCAGTGGTAGAGCACTTGCCTAGCATGTGCAAAGCCCTGGGTTCCATCTCAGGACTGCAAAATAAAGGGGGTGGGGGGAGTAGGGCTGGTGATGTAGCTCAGTGAACCCCTTGGTTCAGTCCTCAGTACCACACACACACACACACAAAAGACAGCCTTATGAAGTAGGAACTGTTATCAGCTCTATTACAGATAAGGAAACTAAGTCATGGGTAGGAAGATAGATAGATAAGTATAATCAGGCATAATAACACACTATCTTCTGGGAAGGGAGGGAAAGGGAAATATGTTAGGATAGGGCTTTTGTTTAGGTGGGTATTTTTTTAATCTGAAGCAAAGCAAAGTTTTAGTTTCTGTTGATATAGGTCATAGGTACGTGGATTGCTATTTTCTGTATTTGCTTTAAGGTTTGAAATATTTCAAAATTTTATTTGAAGATTTTGTTGAGGTAATTGTAGATTCACATGCAGTTGTATGAAATAATATAGAGGTCTCATGTACCCTTTCCTCTTTTCCTCAGTGATAACATCTTATAAAATTATGGTGCAAGCCAGGTACAGTGGTGCATGCCTGTAATCCCAGCGGCTTGGGAGGCTGAGACAGGAAGATTGTGAGTTCAAAGCCAGCCTCAGCAAAAGCGAGGCATAAGCAACTCGGTGAGACCCTGTCTCTAAAATGGTGCAGTGGTTGAGAGCCCCTGACTTCAGTCCTTGATAACAAAAAAAAAAAAAAAAAAACTGGAGTGCAGGATACTGACGTTGATAACAATCCACCTCTCTTACTTAGATTTCCTGTTTTACTTGTACTCACCTCTGTGTGAGTGTGGTCTGTGCAATTTTATCCCGTGTGTAGGTTCATATTATCCACCACCACAGTTAAGATACTGACTGGTTCCATCACCGCAAGGATCCTTGTATTGTCAACTTATAACCACGCCTACCTCCCCAAACACACACCATCACTAACCCCTGGCAACCGCTAATCTCTTCTGTTTTGGTTCTCTACTCTGTTTTGTCATTTCATTATTATATCAATGAAATCATATAGTGTGTTACCTTTGGGATTGGCTCTTTTCACTTGGGATAATTCCCTTGGAGAGCCATCCAAGTTGTCGCCTGTGTTGATAGTTGACACCTTTTTATTGCAGTAGTATTCCATGGTACAGATGTGCCAGTTTGTTGAACCATTTACTTGTTGATCGACATCTGGGTGGTTTCCAGTTTGGGACTGTTATAAATAAAGCTGCTGTGAATATTAGTGTAGAGGTTCGTGTATGAAAATAAGCTTTTATTTCCTTGTCATAAATGCCAAAGAGTGCCATTGCTGGGTCCTGTGGTAATTGCATGTCTAGTTTTATAAGAAACTAACTGCCAAACTATTTTCCAGAGTGGCTGTGCCTATTTCCTAATGTTAAGAAAAGGGTTTTGCTGGCAGAGGCAGGTAGTCCAGGAAGATGAAGCAGTATATAAAGATCTGGAGTTTGAAAATGTGCTGTCAGCTCATGGAACAGCAAGCTGTCTCATGTGGCTGGGATGGAGTCTGGGTTTAGCTGAGGAGGGAACATAGGTTGCTCCTCATTCAGTCAGTCAGCATGTGCTTACTAAGCTCTTATCTTTGCCAGGTGCTCTGCAAAGCGCATCAGAGGCACTGTCTCCACAGGCCTGGGTCCAACAGAAAAGACAGATGTGAAAAATTGCAAAACACATATGGTGTAAATGGGGAAAGAGAGCCCTGGGAGGTTGTGATGGGGACATCTGGGACCTTTTGTACATCCCATGAGGGCAGGGACCATGCCTCTCTTTCTGGGTCACATACTAAGCAATCAATAAGTATTTGAAAAGTGTTGAATGAATGATCTAATCCAGTGTACACAGTCCCTGTGAGTGTGACCCAGCCGTTGCCTCTGTAAGCAGCTGCACGTCTCAGTCCCGCCGTGTGGGTAAAAGGGCAAAGGCTTGGTCCAGACACCCCACCCTGGAGTGAATTACTGCACCACAGATTGGAAGCCAGCATGACATATAAAAGGCTGGAATGCTCTACTGTAAATTTTTAATTGTTAAACAAGCAAAGAGGGTTGTAAATTCCGTGCGGCGGGACAGTATTGCGTATTGTGCCTATTGCCACCACTGTAGTTTCTTATCAACCCGTTGGGATTTCACAACCTCTTGTGCTTCTTGCATGGTACGGGGCCTCCGCAGGGTCTCTGGGGCATGGTGCAATACCATCTTTTTCTCCGTGGGGGTGACAGGCAGGCTCTCTATGCACTTTCTGTCTGACTTTTCCTCATCCCGTCTAGATTTTCAGCAAAGGAACATCCTGTGCTCGCCCTGCCAGGGGCCCCAGCCCAGTTCCCTGTCCTGGAGGAACACAGGTCACTCCAGAAGTACGTGGTGTGGTCAGATGAGATGGTGAAGATGGGAGAGGCCCAGATCCGTGCCCACCTCATCCGGCCCTATGTGGGCATTCATCTGCGCATTGGCTCTGACTGGGTAACTTCCCCTTCCCTTCCCTGGCTCACTTGACATTTGCCTGAGCTGAGCAGCCATATCTATAGGAATTGACCCCAAGTCTGAGCCAGGGCAGAGAGAGCTCACTTGACCAAGTCTATGGAATTGTGTCCCATGATCCCGCTACAGCACCCATCAGAAGTGTGACTCTGGAGCAGTCTAGAGCCAGCTCTCATTTTAACAGCTGCCGTTTGTATCCTTGTTTTGTTGATGGATAAACTGAAGTATCAAGCCAGAGTCCAGGTCAGGAGCAGGTTGAGAGACCCTCACCTAGGGGTCCTCTGTCCCCATGGGGTGGTTAGCTAGTGGACTCCTTGTTGAAAAACAGCTATGGACTTGGTGCAGAGGGGGGCTTCCAGGAAATGAAGATGTCATCCTCCCAGAATTTGGAGGCTGCTTAAATGTACAGAAACTCATCAAATTACCCTCCATGTGAAAATCACAGAACCAGTATTGACAGTCTGCTTAAATTTACATAAGGAGATACGATATATAGATATGTTAGAAGTGCTCATTGTTGAAAATTGAAAAATACCAAAACGTGTAGGAATTATATTAAAACTCATTCTTTTTCAGTTGATGAGGTAATCTCACTTACCACTAGTCTCTCTCCCTGACCTGCTTCCACAAGGAAAAGGAGCCAGGCCAGAATTTTTTTTTTTTTTTTTTTTTTGTAGTTGTAGATGGACAGCATGCCTTTATTTTCTTTGCTTATTTTTGTATGTGGTGCTAAGGATAGAACCCAGTGCCTCACCCATGCTAGGCAAGTGCTCTGCCACTGAGCCACAGTCCTAGCCCTGGGGCCAGAATATTTTATGAGTGGTTTCAGCCAAACATTCAAGGAACAGCTCCTGTCTATGCTTTCCTAGAATGTAAAATGATAAAAAAGATAAAAGATGCTTTTTTTTTTAAGCTAGCATAACACTAATACCAAATTCAGATAAGATCAACTTGGAAAATTATAGGCATTCTCACTAATCAACATAGGTGCACATATTCTAAGTAAAATATCAGCAGGTAAAGCCAAGTAACATACAAATAAAATCTATCCCAGGAATGCGATGAAATTGCTGAGACAGGAGGATTGTGAGTTCAAAACCAGCCTCACCAAAAGCGGTAAAATGTTGGTTTTAACACCCAAAGAAAAAAAATCATGATGATCTCAGTGGAGGATAATAAAGCATTTGATAAAAGAAAGTCAACACTCATTCATGATTAAAAACAAAAACTCATAACCAGCCAAGAATAGAATGGACAGACCCACCTTAACTTGATAAAGGCTATCTCTGGAATCCACAGCAAACATTGTTACCTCCTGACAGCTATCAGAAGTGTTTCCACTGAAGTAAGGAATCAGATAAACCTGTCCCTTATCAACACCACTCTTCACAATTCTACCCCATGTCCCTTAAGACTAAGAAAAAAGTTTTTACAACACCAGGATCCCACCATTCAGAAATAATCACTGTTATTCCCATGATTCATTTCCCTCTTCCCTTCATGCTTTTAAAAAACAGTTGGGGGGCTGGGGGTGTAGCTTAGTGGTCCAGCATGTGCTCAGCATGCACAAGGCCCTGAGTCCATTCTCAGCCCGCATACCAAAAAATGTGCAGCTGGGCTCCTCCTGCTTGTCCTTTTCTACTTACCAATTCTTGCTGCTGTCTAACTCTGCCCCCACCCCTCCTACAGAAGAACGCATGCGCCATGCTGAAGGACGGTACTGCAGGCTCGCACTTCATGGCCTCTCCACAGTGTGTGGGCTACAGCCGCAGTACAGCGGCCCCCCTGACCATGACCATGTGCCTGCCAGACCTGAAGGAAATCAGGCGGGCCGTGAAGCTCTGGGTGAGCGCGCTGAACGCCCGGTCAGTCTACATTGCCACTGACTCTGAGAGTTATGTGCCCGAGATCCAGCAGCTTTTCAAAGAGAAGGTATGCATGGGCCCCGAGGGAGTGTGGCAAGAGGGAATGGGGGAAAGTGCCAGCCTGTCCCCCTGCTGCCATGTTGTGCTTCATGTTCTCCCCGCCCAGCCTCTTGCCTAAACACTCATTCCTCTCCATTCCTACCCTTCCCTCCAACCCCAGCTTGAACATCTCCTCTGCAGATTCTTTCCCTCTTGTAGCTTGTGGGTTCTTGCTGGGAGTATTCATGGCACTTTCTAGACTGTCTGAGACTAGTGTGGAAATGTGTTGTATTTCTTTCTAGGAATTGTGGATTTCTTGAAGGCTGAGCTGAACCCTACTCTTGTATTCCCCAATATCTTTGATCTCTGGGGGCTGAGACCCTGCCTTATTGCCACCAGTATCTAGAACATAGAGTGGGTCCTGGGAAGAGATCCAGGACAGCAGAGGGGTTAAAGGCATAGACTCTGGAGCCAAAGAATTGGATTTAACTCACTGAGCAGCCTCACAAGCATTATTTGACCTCTCTGAGTTTCTGTTTCCGAATCTATAAAATAGGACTGATAGCACCTGTCTCATAGGACAAATGTAAAGATCAGGTAGAAGGAAAAAGTTTCCCACTACAAAATAAGTACTTAATATAGTTGGCTATTGCCAGATGCAGTGGCACACCATCAGAATCCCCACTACTCAGGAAGCAGGAGGAGTCCAAGTGTGAAGCCAGCCTGAGCAACCTAGTGAGACTCTGTCACAAAATAAAACAAAAATAAAAAGGGGCTGGGGATGTGGCTCAGTGGTAAAGCACTTGCCTAACTTGCATGAAACCCTGGGTTCAACCCCCAATACCACCAAAAAGTGATGATAATAATAATAAAGTTAGCTCTCATTAATAATAGAAAATGGTTGATAAATAAAGGAAAGCTCTTTTGTGCTTAGTGAATGTTGAAGGAAGCTGTGTATATTTAAGGAAATATGTGCATAAGTAGCAGAATGTGTCTGGTAAATGCCTGCTGTAGCAGTGAAGAGTCTGGTCATGGGAAAGTATGGATCGGTAAAATAGCTGAATTATAGTAAACATTCAATAAGACGTTAACTGGGGGGCTGGGGTTGCGGCTCAGTGGTAGAGCACTTGCCTAGCACACGTGAGGTACTGGGTTTGATCCCCAGAGCCACATAAAAAAAAATTAATAAACAAAATAAAGGTATTGTGTCCATCTACAATTAAAAGTATTTTTAAAATAAAAAAATAAGACGTTAAATGAACGAAAACAGTAAATGCTGGGTAGACCCTAAGAGGCAGATGTTGGGAGCCATGGGCTTTCTTTGAGCAGGCTCCTTTTTTTTACCATGACACAGACAGGAAGTTCTAGCCGTGGAGGAAGTGCTGGGTCAGTACATTTTGTTCTCCTAGCCCCCTTTTAACAGAAGATCAGAGCTAGGAGACATTAGGCGTCCTCTCACCCTGCCCCTCTGTTTTGTGGCTGAGGAAACCCAAGTCCCAGGAAGGGACAGAATTTACCCAAGAGGTCCCAGAGCTAATTATAGCAGCCATGACACAGAATGGGTAAGTTTCAGGTGTAGGTGGAATTGTTCGGGGGATTTTGGCCATGATTAAACTGGTATTATTTCTTTGCTACAATCCCCATAGTGAGATGATGGCTTTTGTTACATCAAAAATCTCAGTGGAACAGCAAAGCACTTTCAGCCCATCTCAGCCCACACCCCCTCGCCTCTGTACTAAGTTGAAGCATTTGGAGAGTCCCAGGGAGTTTTTTGTGAGCTTTAGAGTTGATGCGTTTGTTGCGCCTTGAGCCTTTTGCTGTTTTCTATTTCTGGTTCCTGTGCCAGTCTTCTCATTTCTTCCCCACTCCTCAGCCCTCTTCTCCATGGGCTCAGATCCTTGTCTTGCTTCTGACTTAACCTTTGCCCTCCATTAAGCTGGGCCAGTGCTCAGGCAGGGATACTGATGTTAAGATGTGCTCCTGCCCTCCAGGGCTCACAATTTAGACCCAGGTAGAGAACTGTATGTGGGGTGGGGGGTGCTGGTGGGTGGGCATTTCCTTCTATCATTTGTCCATTCAACAGATGTTTACTGAGGTAGGCTGTGGCTGGGCCTGGCCAGCACAGCAGTGGAAAGCCAGCTGACACAGCTCCGGCCCTAGTCAGGTGCAGGACACAATATCAATCAGAGAATCACTAAGGAATGAAAGTCACAAACTGAGATATGTGCTCCAAAGCAGAGCCAAGGGGTTCTGTAAGAGCCCAGAGTAAATGGCCCTGGCCCATGGGGAGAGCTTCCCCAGGGAGCTGCCACTTGAGCTGAGAAGTAAAGGGTAAGTAGAAGCTAATACCCTGGCCTTGCACAGTGGCCTATAACCCCCGCTTCTCAGGAGGCTGTGTCTCAGACAGGAGGATCAAAATACTAAGACCAGCCTGGGCAACTTGGCAAGACCCTGACTCAAAAAGGACTGGGGACGCTGGGGATATAGCTCCATTGGCAGAGTGCTTACCTCGCATGCACAAGGCCCTGGGTTCAATCCCCAGCACCATCAAAAAAAAAAAAGGACAAGGGAGGTAATTCAGTGGTAAGCATTCCTGAGTTCAGTTCCTAATACTAGAAGAGAAAAAAAGAGGGTATACCCCAGACAGAGAAAGGTCCTTAGAAGGGGAGGGAGGGAGCCTGGCTGGCTGCTGGCTGCTAGATTTCAAGGGATGTCAGGGACAGTCTGAAAGGTGATCTGAGTACAGTGATGTGGGGCACCTTTGTGAAAGGCAATAGGGCACCTATTATGTGGGGAAGGGCAGGGGCAGGGGCATCTTTAAAATTTCCTCCAGCTGTTCTGTGATGAGCAGGTCAGGAGAGGCAGGGAGGGGCAGTGAGGAGGCTGTTGTAGTGGATCAAGCAGCGGATGGTCATGGCTGGGCTGAGCATGGGGCAGCTCCTCACAGGAAGGATCCATCTTTGGGGAGAATCTTGGGCATAGATTGAACAGAACTTGGGGCTTGGAGTTAGTATGTGGAGAGAGGCATCCACGCAGCAGAGCTGAATGGGTGGGCACTGTCTTCTTGGAGCCAGGATTTGGTGAGGGAAGCCCATCAGGCCAGGACTTCATGAGGAAGGCAGAATATGAGCTGAGCCTTGAGAGTTTGCTCAGGGTTTTCTTTTCCCTCTTTTGATGCTGGAGATGGAAGCTCGGGCCTTGGGCATGCTAAGCACACACTCCACAGAGCTCCCAGCCCTGGTGAGGAAAAGGGCGTTCTGGGCAGAGGCACCCAGAGTGGGGCATTCCGAGCCGAGGCTGGAGGGCCTGGAGGAGGACACAGGCACCGAGAAGGCAGCTGGGCTGCACTCCTCTCACACCGACCCCAGGTCTTCATCCTCTCCATTCCTCCTTTTCTTTGCAACCTCAGTCCTAGGGAAGGCGGTCGAGCCTGTGGCTGGCAGCCACCAGATTGATACTCTCTGCCTTCCTTCTGCAGGTGAAGGTGGTGAGTCTGCAGCCTGAGGTGGCCCAGATCGACCTGTACATCCTCGGCAGAGCTGACCACTTTATTGGCAACTGTGTCTCCTCCTTCACTGCCTTTGTGAAGCGGGAGCGAGACCTCCAGGGAAAGCAGTCGTCCTTCTTCGGCATGGACAGGCCCCCTCAGCTGCGGGATGAATTCTGATCCTGGCTGGAGAACGTCACCAGTCACAGCTGATCCTTTCAGCCAGGCCTGGCAGCCAGAGGTGCTCTCAGGACTGCAAGCTCCTCTTCTTGCCTGCCAGAGCTGGAGAACCGTATCAGGGAGGCATCTCCCGCCTCTGTGTTTCCCCATTCTCTGGGAATTTCTCACAAAGGTAGAGCAGTCAAACCTCTCTCCTTTGTTCTCCCTGGGATGAGCAGCCTGGAAAGCTGAGAGATTTTTTTATAGAAGGGGATTTTTATAGTTTTGATACAAGGTCATGGCCACCCTAGGACTCTCCTTTATTTTTAAAAGTCAGTGAAATCCATTAGCATAGATACCTAAAGTGACCTTAACAGCAAGTGGATGGATCCAGGGCTGGGGTGGGTCTTTTGGCCACTTTTCCAAGTATCCCCCAAAGTGGTCCTCAGACCCATCTCCACTGCCCAACCAGAGCCAGTGTCATCCCCACCTCCTAGGCCATGTCCAGGATTGGGGTGTGTGTATGCTCCTCTATCAGAAACACTGCAAATGGGAGTAAACAGTCAGGCACTCTGCAGTGCTCTGGGGGCTGCTGCCTCTCACCCAGCACGTTCCCGGCTCAGAGCACACCAGCAAGCCTGATGATCATGGTATTTCTCTCATAATTGATGGTTGGTGGCTGCTGCAAACCTGGCACCATGGGGACCTCAGTGCATCACTGGGGTCAGGGCTCGTGGGCCTAACAGGATCCTCTGAAGGCTGCCCTCTCAAAGGGCCTGTGGGTAGAATTTGGGTTGATGTCCAAAGCTTGTTCTTCCCCTGACCCCCGCCCTGTGGCTTGGGAGCTCTCACACAAAGCCTTCACAAAGGAGCATCTGGCACATAGAAGGTGCCCAGGATCCAGAAACCATTGGAATTCCCAGTTTAGAAGCAACCTTTGCCCCTTCCCATTGAATGTAATCTCTGCCCAAGCCATGAGATGCAAGGGGTTATGGTCATGAGGTTCTTTGTCTCTAGAGGCTGCGCTTTCCACAATACATGACTCCTGAGAGCCTGTGATTTTTTTGACCTCATAGTTCTAAAATGCCACAGCAACACCTGTGGCCTCTGATACTGGATAGGTGGCCCAGAGCTCCATGCAGAGGCTTCTCCCCTGATTGCCTTTAGGTCCTGGGCACACTGGGTCAGGGGTCAGAGATTACAGGAGGATCTCTAACACCCAAGTCAGCATTTGCTGTGTAGAATTGCTGCCTGACTTTACAGAAGGCTTTTGTAGTTTTCCCTCCTGGAAAAACAGTCAAGTGTTTTAAACCCTGGTAAATGGCTTATCTTTCCAGACTTGCTCTCAAGCCTCACCCAGAGGAAAGGGTGCAGACAAGGGAGCCTGTGCACGCTCGGCCTCCAGCAGGTTGTTGAGATGCCGTGGCTTGCTGGCCAGTTCCGTTTCTGACTCTGCTGTTCATTCTCATCTGCTGTTCACAGCCTCACACCAGGCACAGCTCTAGAGTCAGCTAGAGTGAGCCATCCGGATCCGCAGATGGGCGTCAGCAGTAATCTGACTGGTGCTCTGGAGGCAAAGGTGCTGGAGCCCTTGGCCGTCTCAGCTCTGGCCTTTGGACACTTGCTTTATTCTTTGACCCAGGTTCCTACCCTGTGAAAAAATGGTAAAATCAACGGGTTGTTGAGAGGCTCAGATCAGTTAAAGCATATATGCATGAGAGACACTGAACTTGAGAGATGCGGGGGCACACGTAGCTTTGGATTAACTGGGCTGCTTCTCGTGCACACCTCCTCCGTACCAGGCAGCATGCTTGCCAAGTGCTTTATGGGCATTCTCCTGTTTAGTTCCCATCCCAGCCCTGGGAAGTAAGAACTAGTACTATCCCTGTCTTTCTGGATAAGGGAAAAAAATGAACGCTCAGAGAATTCTCATTATTTCTCCAATGCTGCACAGCTCGTGGCATTAAGCCAAAATTTGACCCCTAGAGCCAGTTCTGTTAGCCACCAACATGTTCCACTGCCGTCGGTTCACAAATGCACTTTACCCTGTGTGTGCCGTGGGGACCTCTGCTGGAAAAGATCAGCCACTTTGATTTCCAATGGGCACTTACTGCGGATTTGCCAGGTCACCCAAGAAACAAAGTCCATGTGAAGTCGACAGGTTCCTCTGGTAGTTATTTAGTTTGACATTCTCATTCATCATGTTTTCTGAGCACCCACTATGTTCCAGGTCCTGTGCTAGGAACAATGGTGCAGCGAGAAACCAACATAGTCTTTTTTCTCAAAGAATTTGCATTCAAGAAAGTAGAAGACATAGTGAGCATATTGGGAGATATTGGTAAGTGCTATGAAGAAAAATAAAGGATTTAGGGGTGCAGTGGGAAAGATGTTTTAGACAAGAATAGCTGACAAAGGAGGGGAGGCACACAGGTGTCCAGATACCTGGAGGCAGCATATTCCCAGCAGAGGAAATGGCATGTATCAAGGCCCTGTAGGGACACAGGCTCCTGAAGAGCCACGAGGAGGAGGTCAGTAGGTGTAGCTGAGTGGCTGCAGCAATCCAGTGCCACTCCCATAGCCAGAGGTCTGCACCTTGGCCTGGACTTGGCTTTAATTGGAGAGATAAGAGCCTCTGCGGGCTTGGAGACAGAAGAGGATACGATCTGATCTACACTCTTGAAGGTCCCTTGGAACTGGCATGGGGAGGGGAAGGGTGAAAGCAGAGACTGGTGTGGGCCTGGGTCCCGGGTGCAGGGGAGAGGCGAGGGGCTCTTCCCCCCTGAACTGGAACCCCAGCACCCTCTTCTCCCAGGAGGCAAAGGCCATTGCATTGAAGGAGGTAGGAAATGGTCAGATTCTGAATGTATAAAATTATTTTTTATAATTCAGTTTTTGAAGAAATGAATCTGCATAGTTTTAATCATGCAATATATACAATTTAATGTCTTTTTTTTACTCAATAGTATATCATATTTTCCCTGTTCATAGCCTGAATAAATTAATTATATCAACTTCCATTGAGAGGTTCTCCATAGTTCACCATTTCCTTTTTTTTTTTTTAATTTATTTTTTAGTTGTAGTTGGACACAATATCTTTATTTTGTTTGTTTATTTTTATGTGGTCCTGAGGATTGAACTCAGGGCTTCACACGTGCTAAGTGAGCACTCTACTGCTGAGCCACAATCCCAGCCCAAGTTCACCATTTTCCTATTATGAGACCTTAATATGTTCCCAGTTTCTCACTACTGGAATTTGAAAAATATTTTTATTTGTAAAGATTTTTCTTTATTTGAAATATGTGTTAAGGTGCAGGGCATAGTGGCATATACCTAAAATCTTGTGACTTGGGAGGCTGAGGCAGGAAGATCTCAAGTTCCAGGCCAGTTTGGGCAACTCAGACCCTGTCTCGAAATTAAAAATCAATGGAGGTGTAGCTCAGTAGTATGGTACCCATGGGGTTGATCCCCAGTACCACACACAAAGATAAATAAAAATATTTATTGTGGGAAAATTCACATACACACAAACATTGTGAGTGATAAACTGAACTCACATTTTTAATAATTATCAATATTTTACCAGTCTGATTCCATCACTCTCCCATTCCCAAATCTGCTTGTTTACTGGAGTCTTTTAAAAGTTACCTGTGTTTTTTGAGGGACAGGCCAGCAGGATTTGCTCACACCGAGGGCAGATGAGAAGGTAGAGGATCCCTGGCTGCTGGAGAGTTTAGGGCCCAAACCACAGGGAGCTTCCCTGACTTGCAGAGTGACCTCAAGGCAGATTTTCTTACTCCCATACCTCACTTCCACATTACAGGTGCTACTGCAGTGTCCAGAGCTTCCTTGGAGTGCTGCTGGATAAGGCAAATTCCAAGAGCCACCCTTGCCTGAAGAATCCAAGTGACTGGTGGGTAGTGTCCAGGAATCTGCATTTTTTTTTTTTTTTTTTTTTTGGCAAGCACCTATAGGTGGGTTTAATGCCAGTGGCTCAGGGCCTCTTAAATTGTGGTCATAGGACCCGCAGGTGGCCTCACTTGGGGGAACTTGTTAGACATGCTGAATCCCGTGGGGCTATAGGTTAGCCCAGTGACAGAGCTTCTGCCCAGTGTTCATGAAGCTTTGAATTTGATTCCCAGAACCATAAAAAGAAAGAAAAATAAGACATATGGAATCCCAGACCTGCTAAAGCAGTCTCCCAAGGAGGCAGGTCAGAAGCAACATTGGTGGGTAGAGGATCTCAGCTCCTCAGCCACCCGACAGTACAGAAGAACCCTAGCATGCCCCCCAGGTCCCACCAAGTGCACCTTAAGGAGGTGACTTAAGAGTTGCGGGAACTGAATCCACTAATGTCTCTCCATATACATGAGGGTGGAAATATGCAACTAGACCAAATCTTTACAGAAGTAAACAAAGGCAATTAAAATTTTTTTTTTAAAGAGAGAGAATTTTAATATTTATTTTTTAGTTTTCGGCGGACACAACATCTTTGTTTGTATGTGGTGCTGGGGTTCGAACCCGGGCCGCACGCATGCCAGGCGAGCGCGCTACCGCTTGAGCCACATCCCCAGCCCCAATTAAAATTTTTATAAGTAAGTACCAGTAGAGATGGGTTATGATAAGGCAGAAATGGATAAGGCTGGGAAACAATGTCCTGAAGCATCATAGCTGCTCTAGGGGGTAGGAGAGGAGAGAAAGGGCAGAGGGAGGAAGGAAGGAAGAATGGAGCTCTCATTTCCATTTTCTGTTCACCTCAAAGAAGCTTGGTGCAGCCTGGCGGGCGCACACCGTAACCCCAGTGGCTCTGGAGGCCGGAGCATGGCAAGTCTCGGCCAGTCTCAGCAACTCAGTGAGTCCCTAAGTGCTTAGCAAGACCCTGTTTGAAAATATAAAAAAGGACTCGGCATGTGGCTCAGTGGCTAAGTGCCCTTGGGTTCAAGTCCCAACACCAAAAAAAAAAAAAAAGGCAGCTTAGTGCATAATAGTAGTAACAGCAATAATAATAAGGTTTCACTCTCCGTCCTCTCCCCAGCTCGCTTTCTATCCTTAGTGGAGTTGACAGAAAAAACTCCTTGCCTGAAGGCAAATCCTGCGCTGGATTATGTTGTCAGAATTAATTCAGATTCTCACTTGAAACCTGGTTTATTCCAGGGTTGCGACCTTTCCCTGGAAATGACACTATTTAACTGGCAAGCAGGTTTGCTTTGTTTTTACATCTAATCCTTTATTGATCGCCAGCCCAGGATGCCAAGTAAACAGTGAGGGGAAGACACAAAAGGCATTTCCCAGAAACCTCCCTCCCACGGCGTGACTCAGCCTTGTGGAGGAACAATACCCACCTGGGGTGGCAGCCTGGGGTGGACCTCAGCCTCGGAAAGTCTGCCTCTAAATAAAACCGGCGCCACATCAAGCCATTGACATTGATTCTCTTGGAGTGTGGGGGCGTTTTCAAGTCAGATGGTGTCCAAGATGGTTCCGGAGGTACTGGGTACAAGAAGGAGAGAACTAGCTTTCCAGTGTTTTCCCATCCTGCCAACATTCCCATAGAGAAAGTCCCAGTTCAGTGCCAGTGTCATTAGCTCCTGTCTGTGCTCACTAGTACTTGGAGAGAGCAGAGAGCTCGGACTCAGATGGCCTTAGCCAGCTACAAGTCACTAACATTGTCTTTGTTATATTTAATTTTTGCTACTTGGGATTTTTCTGTTTTTTGTTTTTTTTTTTCCACTTACAGATGTGGTTCAAAGTTGGCTTTTAAGAAATTTATTTCATTTTAAAAAGTATAACGGGCTCTGAGAAAAATATTACATAAACCATGGTTATGAGGTTTGGGCAAGTAGCTCCGTGACAGTGGGCCACTTAGCATGCACGAGGCCCTGGGTTCAGTCTTCACCAAAAAAAAAAAAAAAAAAAGTGTGGAATGAATGAAGAAGGTAAGATTGGGAGAAGCTCGATCAGCCACATTTTTGTTTTGTTTTATTTTATTTATTTTATTTTATTTTATAGTGTTGGGGATAAAACCCAGAGCTTTGCACATACTAGACAAATGCTGTACCATTGAGCGCTACCAGCAACTCATCCTTGTGCCCTAAAGACACCTCCCAGTAAGAGATGGGAGAGGCACATGGAAGTGACGAGGAGAGAGACTGCCGTCCACTCAAACTCTACTGGCTGCACACTGCCTGCGATTGCCTAGACCATCCCCTCTAACGTTTCCTAATGCCAAGTCAGGTGGAGTGGCATGTGCCTGTAGTCCCAGCAACTTGGGAGTCTGAAGCAGGGGATCCCAAGTTTAAGGCCAGCCTAGGCAACTTACTGAGGCCCTGTCTCAAAATAGTAAAGTTGGTTATGTAACTCAATGGTAGAACACCCCTGGGTTTTGTCCTGGGTTCCATCTGAAGGACAAAAGAAAAAATGTAATCCTATGAAATTTTCCTCTCGGAGTTCCACAGCACCTTTAAATTGTAATAATAACTGACATAATTATTGTCATTTATCATGTGCCAAACTGTGTCCTAAGCCCTCCGCATAAACTAACTCATCTGATTCACAGATGTTGCTTTTCTTATTATCTCCATTTTACAGATAAGGGCATGGAGGCACAGAGAGGTAAAGCAACTAGCCTACAATCACACAGCTTGAGTAGTAGACCCAGGACTCAAAACCTGCAAGCATGACACATAGTCAGTGCCCTTAGCCTCTGTACTGTGATGCTTCTTATGTCACTTATCAGAAGACTAGGCTTGTTTTCCCAGCTGACCAGAGGTCCTCCCCAAGAACAGGACGGTGCCTGACGTGTCTCCCTGTATCTGCTCTTCACCAGTGCTTGGCTTATAAGTGTCCTGTACTTAAGTGTTGAATGAATATGCAGAAAGTGACCTGAGCAGGTGATCTGACTTCTGGCATCTTGGCGAAGGTAGAGTTGAATGGATTGATAGGCATATTTTAACAGCTGCACCTGGGGGAGGAGAAAAGGCATTAGAGACTCAGAACCAAGGTGCAAAGAGCTGAGGTATGGAGGCCCCGAGCATGGACTTGGGGAGATGGAGCCCCAAGAGGAAGGGACACAAGGAGATCTGAGCAGCTCATAAAGGGCTAGAACATCAAACTAAAGTCTGACCCTCCCCAATGGGAGCCAGACAGAGATTGTCTCTGGGCTGGGGCAAAGCTGGGTGAAGATGGGAGCAGGGGATTTTCAGGGCTCACTAAGGGGTCACCTGAGCCAAGGATAAGTGAAAAGGTCCCTGTAAGCACCCCTCAAGGGAAGTGCCAAAAGGCAGGGCCCTGGTTTTATAAATTAGTTTAACATACTATGTCTGTTGATTGAAAAATGTCTAGCTTCCTTCTCCCTGGAGGCAAACATAGTACTAGCAATTTTGTGAACGCCTTCCAGAAATTTCTCTTGCCATACATAGGCATACATGTGTGTGTATAAAACATATCTGTGTATGTGTGCATATATAAAACGTACATATATGTGTATATATATATATATATATATATATATATATATATACACACACACACATATAATTGTTTTCCATTCCCTTTTTATCTGCCACATAATATTCCACAACATGATTGGACTATAATGCCTTTAATTTACCATGAGGCCTTAAAGTTTGCTGTTTTTAGACACCATGAACAAAGGATATGTTTCTGGAAGTGGTGAGTCATAATGGTGTGTAAGTTTATAATTTGACAGACTTGGCCATCTTGTTCCCCAGAGAGGTTGTGCACTGCGTCCTTCCCAGTATAGTGCCCATTACCTATGCCATCTGGTTTCACTGGCTTTTCAGGTGGTTTAGAATGGAGCTGCTGGTCTTGACCTGACTTCTGTCCTGGGGCTGCTATGTGCTGACCATCCATATCCTGGGAGGCTTGGGAGGATCAAATCCCAGTTCAGCCACTAGCTGATGTGTGACTCAAGTCATTAGCATGTCTGAACCTCTGCATTTTGTGTCTGTAAGATGTAGATAATGTCTTAAAGTCGAGACCTAAAGTATTGAAGTATTTTCTTTCTGCTCAGTTTGTTTTCTTTTCTTTCTTTTTTTTTTTTTCTTTTTTCTTTTTGGTGCTAAGGAATAAACCCAGGGGGTGCTTAACCACTGAGCAACATCCCCAGCCCTTTTATTTTTTAGTTTGAGACAAGGTCTCTCTAAATTGCTTAGAGCCTCACTAAGTTATCAAGGCTGGCCTTGAACTTGAGATCCTCCTGCTTCAGCCTCCTGACTTGCTGGGACTGCAGGCTGTGCTACCTCACCCCACTTGAAATTATATTTATTTTTAATTGACACATTAAAGCATAAAATTTTGTTTTTATTAATATCTGCCCCAAGTTGTTAAACCTGCGTATGATGTGACTGTATTCTTTGTAGGGTTGTTGTGAGAATTTGAGGCACTGATACCCTCATGGCTTCTGATACATAGTAACTCTGTGAACTTGCAAAGCCTTCTGAGCCTCAGTGTCTTCCGTGTGAACGTTGGTGGCACAGGGCTGCCAGAGGCTTGCAAAGTGCATGAAAATGCTCTGTAAACCCAAGGAGGGCCTGAGGGAGGGGGGTTAAGCTTTATTAGAGCTCTGGCAGCCCTGCAAGGCGCTGCTTGCTCTAAGCTTGCTTTGTACCTCCCCCTGGCTTTTCATTGTTGTGTTTGCTCAGAGTGAGGCCATCTTCTCCCAGCTGTTGCCAGGGAGCAAACAGGAACCCTGAACACTTAGCCTGCTGGGTAAATGGGCCCCGCCTCCAGTCTCCAGAGGATTAGACTTCTTAGGAGAAGGACTTAGAGGGAGCCAAGAACTCACACCAGTAATGCAGAGGGGAGGGGACTCTGAGAGTCAGAGAACTGCCTATTTGTGGCAGATTCTGGTCCACTCTGAACTCTTGTCTCTTCATCTGTAACATGAGGGCTTTGGACTGGGTGACCCTTTGAAAAGGGACTAGGCTTGGTGTCCAAAGACTTGTGTGTAAGGCCTACATTAACTATTAATCCAGTGTGTAACTGGTGGAACTTGGTGTTCTCATCTGTAAAATGAGAATACAAATTGAATTACGGAGCCATTATGAATTAATGGCTTGCTTTCTGGTGAGGAAGAAGGAGACAAGAGCCAGGTGCAGTGGCGCACGTCTGTAATCTCAGTGGCTATGGAGGCTGAGGCAGAAGGATCAGGAGTTCAAAGCCAGCCTCAGCAACTCAGTGAGACCCTGTCTCTAAATAAAATGCAAAATAGGGCTGGGGATGTGGCCCAGCGGTTGAGTGTCCCTGAGTTCAATCCCTGGTACTAAAAAAAAATAAAATAAAAAACTAATGTGTTAGGTGGTCATGAAGAGTAAAGAGAGTGAAGTCCCATGAAAGAGAGTTACTGGGGCGGTCAGGCTTAAGCAGAGGCTTGAAGGTGAGCGAGCGAGCCCTGGGGCCATCTGGAGAATAGGGAGGAACTGGATGGAGGTGAGGCCTGGGAAAAACAGAGGCTGGATTGTGGTAGACCTCACCTTTGGTTTCGTGTGAGTGACCTTAAGTCCATTGGAAGAGGAATGGTCTATCTAACTTGGCTTTTTTTTTTTTTTTGGGGGGGGGTACTAAGTTGTTGAGGGTCTTGCTACATTGCTGAAGCTGTCCCCTAACTTGTGATCCTCCTTCCTCAACCTCCCAAATAGCTGGGATTACAGGTGTGCGCCACCATGCCTTGCTTAATTTTTCTGTCAGCTGTCTATTTCTGCATAAGTAATAACCCCTCCATGTGGTGTCTTAAAACAACAACAATCAATATCACAGTTTCTGTGGGAAACTCCTGGGTAACTTGGTTGGGCAGTTCTGGCTCCGGGTTGGGGGGGCGGGGCAGAGGGGTCTCTCAGAGGTTGTGATCAATCCTTGCCAAGTCTACAGCCAGCTGAAGGCCTGGCTGGGGCTGGAGGCCCCATTTCCAAGGTAGGTCACCCCTATGGCTAGCAAGTTGGGACTGGCCACTGTGGGATATCCTCAGCTCCCCTCCTTGGGGTCGCTCAAGGGTCCTTGCCACACCGTGGCTGACTTCCCCAGAATGAGTGGTTCAAGCGGCCAATACAGAAGCTGCAATGTCTTTCACCCAGCTTTGGAGGTCATGAACTATCACTTCCTTCATTTTTACAGGTCACTCAGGCTAGCCCTATTGAAAGTGAGAAGGGACACAGGACAAAACTATTAGCAGAAGGCCAGGAGCATTATGGACCCTCCTTGAAGCTCGCTACCACCAGGTTTCTGTTTGTTTAAATAGCACTTAGTACAATTTACCTTCTTCCTCCGTTACTTTTTTCATGTGTAGTTCTATGAATTCTCACATGTACATCTCTATAGCCACCACCACAAACAGGACACAGAACCGTCCATCAGCCCTCAAAAAGCCCTTGCATTTCCCTTTGTAGTGACACGTTCCTCCCATCTCAACCTGGAGCAACCACAGATCCTTCTCTAGTTTTGACTTTTAGAGAATGTCACCCAAATGAAATCATATAGTGTTTTTTGGTACTAGGGATTGAATCCAGGTATCTCCCCAGCTTTCTTTTTTTGAGACAGTCTCACTAAATTGATTAGGGCCTTACTAAATTTCTGAGGCTGGCCTTGAACTTGTGATCCTCCTGCCTCATCCTAAGTTGCTGAAATTACAGGTGTGTGCCATCACACTCAGCAGTATGTAACCTTTTGAAACTGACTCTTTCACTTACAATAATCCTTTGAGATTCATTTAAGTTACTGCAGGAATTAATAAATCATTCCTTTTCTTTTTTCCTGTTTTTTTTTTTTTTTGGCGGGGGGGGACCATGAATTGAACTCAGGGCACTCGACCACTGAGCCACATCATCAACCCTGTTTTGTATTTTATTTGGAGACAGGGTCTCCCTGAGTTGCTTAGCACCTGGCCATTGCTGAGGCTGGCTTTGAACTTGTGATCCTCCTGTCTCAACCTCCAGAGCTGCTTGGATTATAGGTGTGTGCCACCGCGCCTGGCTCATTCCTTTTCGTTCTAAACTATGTTCCACTGTATAGATCTACTGGTTTGGGGGAATTATGACGAGTGTGTGTCTTAGTCTATTCAGGATGCTGTAACAAAGTGCCGTAGACTGATTGGTTTATAAATGACAGAAATGTATTTATTATAATTCTAGAGGCTGTACCAACCAACTGAGTGTCTGGTGAAGGCTTATTCTCAGATTCATAGATGGCACCTTCTCATTGTGTCCACACTGGTAGAAGGAATGAGGTACCTCTCTGGAATCTCATTTTATAAGAGCACTAATCCAATTCATGCAGGATCTGTCCTTGTGATCTGATCATCTCTCCAAAGCCTCACTGCCTACTCCAACACTGTCAACCTGGGAGTTCCGACTTCACATATGAATTTTGGGGGGACACAACTTTAGGAGATAGAGACTAACGGGAAGTCTTCAAGTTATTGGGGAGTGTGCTCTTGAAGAGAATGGAAGAACATTAGACCATTTTCTGTTTTTTCATTTCCTGGCCAAGAAGTGAACATTTTGCTCTGCTTCATGCTCCTGCTGTCGTGTACTGCCTTGCCACAGGCCCCAAAGCAATGGACTCAGCCAGTTATGGACTGGAACTCCAAAACTGTGAGTTCAAATAAACCTGTTTTATTTATCAGCTGATTTATCTCAGGTCTTTGTTATGATGATGAAAATCTGACTCACCCTTGGGGAAGTCCAGCAAAGGGTACTGGGCTTAGGTAGTCATGATGAAGGTCAAGTGTCCACAAGAGACAAGCCAGTGAGATTGGTGACTGGGACTAGATGCTGGGAGGTGAGTGTTGATCTCTGGTTTCTGTGAGCTGAAGAAAAAAGTCACATCATGTTTTCCACCAGTGAGTGAGGAGGGGAAGCCCCACCCGCAGATGTGAGACGGGATGTAGGGATTCATGTGGGTGTCTAAGGCCCTGGCAGGGAAAGGTGGGTGGCATCTATGAGGAATCAGGGCCTGATGTGACAGCTTGCTGAAGGGAGTGGCACACTGCTACAGCTTCTCATGGAGCTGTGGGAAGGGCTTGGGATGGGTGTCAGCTTCTATACCCAGGATAATCATATTTCCCCAGAGCTTACTGACAATGAGGTGGAAGACCTAGGAGAGGATAGGGGACCAGGTGTTTAGATGTAGGAGTGACAGAGAGCTTTAGATATCCTTTTTTTCTTTTTTGTTACCAGGGATTGAACCCAGGGGCACTTAACCACTGAGCCACATCCCCAGCCCTTTTAGTTTTTTGTTTTGAGATAGGGTCTTGCTAAGTTGTTGAGGGTCTTGCTACATTGCCAAGGCTGGCCTTGAACTTGCATTCCTCCTGCCTCAGCCTTCCAAGTCACTGGGATTATAGGTGTGCACCATCATGCCCAACTGGCTATATCTCTTTTTTTGAATTATGTGTATTATTTTTATCTATTGTTGCCAATAAATCAACCCCAAACTCAGCATCAAGGACACCAAATATTTATTACACAGTTTTTTGAAGGTAAGGAATCTGGAATCAGCTTTTCTGGGCATCTCTGGCTCAGGTCTTTCATGAGCTTATAGTAAAAATGTCATCCAGGACAGGGGTCATCTAAAGGCTTCACTGGTGCAGTAGGATCTACTTCTAAGATGACACATTTGAGTGGCTGTTGGCTGGAGGTCTTGGTTCCAAACTACCTGATTAGCCAGAGACCTCTGTTATCCTCAATATGGGCCTGTCCGTGGCACTTCTCTCAATGTAGCACTGATTTCTCCTACAACAAGGGATATAATAGAGAGCAAGAGACCAAGATGGGAGCTGGGGTGTCTTCTATAATCTAGTCTCAGGAGTGGCATATAGCATTATTTCTGCCATGCATTGTTTCTACATGTGATCATGTAGGCCAATGCTGGTTTAGTGTGACAAGGGACCATACAAGGATTTGGATACAAGAGGGAGGTCACTGAGGGCCAACTTAGAGCTGGCTATCACACATGTTAATGTATTACCAAATTCAAGTTCTTCTGTAAATTTAAATAGATCACTGAGACATTCTCATTTAAATAAAAAAGAAACACAAAACCTACATGTTTCTATTATACATACATATGTAAAAATATAGAAAATGATCTGGAAGGACACTGTTATATTATCATCCTGGAGAGGGAGATGGAATGGCACGTATATTTTCTTCATTCGTTTTTTTGTTGTTTTTTTTTTGTGGTGCTGGGGATTAAACCCAGGGCCTTGTGCATGTGAGGCAAGCACTCTACCAACTGAGCCATAGCCCTAGTCCAGTAGGCATCTTTTGAAAGGGAACCTACCACTTTTACACTGTTTTTCCTTATGGTTTAAATCATTTGCAATAACATTGTGTTCTTGGGTTGCTATTCTGACATTTTGTTGCTAGATAGCAAACCACCCCAAACTTATTGGCAGAAACAAGGCTTATATTCTGCTCATAGATTTGGTGGGTCAGAAAATTGTGCAGGACACAGCATGACTAAAATATGGGGCTTAGCGAGGGCCTTTTTTTTTTTTTTTAATGAAACATTCAGCATTCTCCTCTTTTTTTTTTTTTTTTTTTTAGAGAGAGAGAGAGAGAGAATTTTTAATATTTATTTTTTAGTTTTCGGGGAACACAACATCTTTGTTTGTATGTGGTGCCGAGGATCGAAACCGGGCCACACGCATGCCAGGCGAGCGCGCTACCGCTTGAGCCACATCCCCAGCCCCTAGTGAGGGCCTTTGACTAGAACACTACAAATGGCCTCAGTGTAGCTTGGGTCCCCTCACAGGATGGTTGCTAAGTTCCAACAGGAAGTATTCCAGGAGGAGTCATCTGGAGAGAGAATATTCCAGAAAAACCAGACAGTGCTGTGTGTCTCCTCCCCATGTCCCTGACCTCCTTGCCTAGTACTAGGGGTTGAACCCAGGGCACTCTACCACTGATCTACATCTCCAGCCCTTTTTATTTTATTTTTATTTTTTTTGGGGGGGGTACCGAGGATTAAATTCAGGGCACTTGACCACTGAGCTACATCTTCAGCCTTATTTTGTATTTTATTTAGAGATAGAGTCTCACTGAGTTGCTAAGTCTCATTGCCGTTGCTGAGTCTGGCTTTGAACTCACAATTCTCCTGTCTCAGCCTCCCGAGCCACTGGGATTACAGCCACTGCACCCAGCTCTCTCTCTGTCTCTGTCTGTCTATTTATTTATTTTTGTGTATGTGGTGCTGGGGATCGAACCCAGGGCCTTGTGCATGCAAAGCAAGCACTCTACCAACTGAGCTATATCCCCAGCTCCCCTTTTTATTTTTTGAGATGGAGTCTTGCTAAGTAGGTAAGGCTGGCCTCAAACTTGCAATCCTCCTCCCTCAGCTTCCTGAGTCAATTGGATTACAGGCATGTGCCACTGTGCCATGCCAGACCTATGTCTTTTTTACCCAAACTTGGAAGTCATATTGTCAATTCTACCATACTCTATTCTTCTTTTTCTTTTTTTTTTTTTTTGGTACTGGGGATTGAACTCAGGGGCACTCAACCGCTGAACTATGTCCCCAACCCTATTTTGTATTTTATTCAGAGACACGGTCTCAGTTGCTTAGCGCCTGAGGCACTGGGTGCAATCCTCAGTACCATAGAAGAATAAATAAATAAAAAGTATTGTGTCCATCTACAACTAAAAAAGAAAGAAAGAAAGAAAGAAAAGATTCAAGGAAAAAAAAGACATTCTGCCTCCAAGGGATGTCAAGGAATCTGTAGGTATTTTTATTTTTAAACTGCCTCAGTTAGCCGGGCAGGCCTGTAGTCCCAGTGACTGAGGCAGGAGGATCTCAAGTTCAAAGTCAGCCCCAGCAACTGAGTGAGGCTATAGGCAACTCAGTGAGACCCTGTCTCTAATAAAATACAAAAATAGGGGTTGGGTTGGGGTTGTGGCTCAGCAGTAGAGCCCTTGCCTAGCAAGTGCAAGGCCCTGGGTTTGAACCTCAGCACCACATAAAAAATAAATAAAATAAAGGTATTATGTCCAGCTACAACTAAAAAATAAATATTAAAAAAAGTAGGGCTGGAGATGTGGTTTAGTGGTCAAATACCCCTGAGTTCAGTCCCCAGTACAAAAAATAAATAAATAAAATAAAATAACCTGCCTCGGTTAGTTATAGAATCTAAAAATCTATTTTAAGAGTTGGAGATGACATTTGGAGGTTGCTTTTCCTAAGATGGCGGATGGGGAGCAGCTGGGAACCCACTCATAGTGCTGCATCCACACTCTTATTCCTTCTGTCCTTTTCTCCTTGAGCCTGAGCATTGTAGGGAAATTGAGACAACTTGTCAGTTGCAATTTACAATTTTTAAAAAAGTACTTAGCATTGAACCCAGGGACACTCTATCACTGACTACATCCCCAACCCTTCCTTTAAAAAAAAAAAATTCATTATTTATTTATTTGTTCTAATCAGTTGCACAGGACAGCAGAATGCTCTTCAATTCATTGTACACAATGGAGCACGAATTTTCACTTCTCTGGTTGTACACAAAGTAGGGTCACACCATTCATGCAATCATACATGTACTTAGGGTAATAATGTCTCATTCCACTGTCTTTCCTATCCCCATGCCCCCTCCCCACCCCTCTGTCCCCTTTGGTCAAACCAAAATTCCTCCACTCGTCCCATTCCCCCCATTATGGATCAGCATCCACTTATCAGAGAAAACATTCAGCCTTTCATTTTGGGGGATTGGCTTACTTTGCTTAGCATGATATTCTCTTAACTCCATCCATTTACCTGCAAATGCCATAATTTTATCCTCTTTTATTGCTGAGTAATATTCCATTGTGTAATATACCACCGTTTCTTTATCCACTCATCTATTGAAGGACATCTAGGTTGATTGACAGTTTAGCTACTGTGAATTATAATGCTATAAACCATGATGTCCAGCCCTTCCTTTTTATTTTGTACCTTGAGACAGGGTCTTGCTAAGTAGCTTAGGACCTTGCTAAATTGCTGAGGTTGGCTTTGAACTTGTAATCCTCCTGCCTCAGCCTCCAGAGTTGCTGAAATTACAAGAGTGTGCAACTGCGCCTGGCTATTATTTTTTGTTGTTGTTTCTTTTCAGTACCTAAAAACCAAGCCCTTAAAGCAAATATTAACATATAGATTTACTTTTTTCCCAGGCCTAACTCCAAAAAGAACTGAGGAAGTCTGCAAGAATTCACACAGTATAATAATATGATTTAAAATCTATAAATACATCAAGAAACCAAGGTGATGGGAAAGAAAAAGTTGAAACAGTAAGATGAGACCAGAGGGGAAGTTAGTTATTAAAAATATAGGCTGCAAAGTCTTCAATAAGTATTTGCCTTTGTAGGAATGGAAGGAATTACCTATGTTATGTGATCCACTTCCCCAACTGGCTTTTGAATCCCTCTCCAACGACTCTGCCAGCCTGTTTGTTCAGTAAGGCATGTCTGGCCATTGGAATGTACAGACCCCAGATCCACAAACTCAAATGTATCCAAGGGCCAGACAGGCAAGGAGAGGGAATGAGGCAGGTTTGGCGGGGGTTGGTGCTGGGGTGGGGTGAGCAAATGTGCAATCCTTTACTCTATAAAGTGTAAGGGGTGCTATTGTTACCCTCCAGCCAATTATTTTCGAGTGGGGA